AGACAAATGCCAATAAGCTGATGTGCCATCACTGAAATACAATATATTTATTTATTATTTTTTATGAGAAGATAGCACAGTTTGAGAATCATTGCACATCGGTTTAAAATAATACTATGTGACTCAACATCACACCACTTTTCCATGCCTCTCTCACTTCATCTGTGCTTTCGCTGAAGGGTTAGCACACACACTCACCTCCCAAGACCCATGAAAACTCTGGCTGCGAGAGAAAAATGAGTTTACCTCCAATTAGCATATTACTCCAATTAAAGCGTTACCCTTCCGCCCCACTATCATTTAAGTCTAATGAACAAAGGCTAATTAGAAATTAATCCTTTTTTCTTTTTTTATTCAAACGACCTTCGAACACTAATATAGGATGGGGGTTGTATCAAATATATCAATCATTTTTTTAAGCAGCGTTATCACCCAAACAAAAAGAAAACAAGTTTCTTATTAAAAAACAATGGGGGGGGCACCATCATTTTCAAGCGTGCTCTGCTGCCTGGAGTGACGCCTTAATCAAAAAGGTCTAATGCAAGGGTGCCGACACTTTTCCAGCTCGCAAGCTACTTTTCAATTAGTGTCAAGTCATGGCGATCTATCCCCCATGCCAGCCGGTTCCGGTCCACCTCCTCTCATTCCCAGGCCGTTAGCCCGGAAAATAATAACGACTAGTAGCGGTAACCAAACTGAAGAACAACGCTGCATACTGTGAGCGCAACGCATGTCAATATTAAAAAAGAAATCTGTCAGAAGTTATTACACACGTTCTTGGTCATTACCTTACTCCGATGACTTGCACTGATTTGGAATCAGCCAGGGTTGCTTTTGAATGAAATTAAATTTGTCACTTAGTAAGCAAAGATTGCTAATTATCACTACCAAGTTTTCCGTTACGTTCCTTACATTATATTTGGCAATGGGAAACAGGAACATTTATTACCAAAATATGTTAAACAGTACAAGGGTTTTGACTTGGCGGTTGCCTGGAGCCATAACATCAGACAAGACAATGGACAACAAGACAACAGGTTAGCGATCTACCGGCCACTGGTCTAACGTATGCCCTCAGAGTGCAACCCCCAGTGAACTGAAAGGAATAGCAGCTACTTTTCTAGAAATGCAATTTATGTCTCTGTAATTCTCACAATGGCAAAGTCAAGTTACCTTCATTCTGACACCTATGGTCTACACTAACGAGTAATAAAGAGTTAGTGATGGGTTTTAAGGCGTCTGCTTTATGAACCCATTACAGGTCTTGTTTATTTTATAGCTGACAGGAAGGAAATAGCTTTTGTTGACCTGACCGTGTAATTAGAAAGTGACACATGAAAAGGTGCTGACACACTTTGTAGGGATAATTATTGTTGACGCTGTAGTAGAGAACAAAAATGCACAAATATTATACACAGCCCAAGAAAATAGTCAACAAAATAGATAAATTTAGTAAAAGTAAACTTGAGCATGACGATACAATGTGGTCTAGGTTTTTTTAAACTTCTTTATTAAATCAACTCTGGAACAATAAGTATTTAGACAGGGGAACATGTTTTTCTAATCAGTAGTAGCACACACTGTTGATCTATGATTAACAATGTGTGATACTGCAATGTCTACACTCACTTAAACTGCCTTTCACCATGGGCGCTGGGGTCCAGCGGGTGGGGCACAATAGTGCAGGAAGTAGTGATGGGCAGGAAATAGGAAATCAGCTTGTCGATCTGGTTTGCAGAGTGTGGTGGCGGGCGTGGTTTGGCTCGGCTGCAGGGGGGACTGAGAAGGGAGTGGTTCAGGGAACGGTGCCGGGGGAGGCATAATCAGCCTCAGGTGGGACTAATCAAGCTGTGTATTCTACCTTTAAGTAGGAGAAATCTGGCGCCAGCGAGGGAGTGCTGAGAGGAGGCTGGAGCGACAACAACGGCTGTACGACAGAGGGGCCAGGCTGCGACGATTCACACCGGGAGAAAAAGTACTTGTATTACTTCCTACTTCCAACTCTAAACTCCTAGCCAAGTGGCAACGGCCCTTCGAGGTCACACGGCAGGTGGGGGACGTCGACCACGAGGTGGTGTGGTCTGACGGGGGCGGGGGTACACAGATATACCACCTGAACCTCCTGAAAGCCTGGAGGGGAGTGGAGTCTGTCTCTCTGGTCTCTACAGTATCGGAAAGGGAGGAGCTGGGGCTGGAGGTTCCAAAAGCAGGTAATCATACCGCTCTCTCTCTCCGAGAGCCAGAGGGTGGACGTTGCCAGGTTGCAGGAGCGGTTTGCTAATGTGTTCTCTCCCTTGCCAGGCCGGACCGACCTCATACACAGTATCGAGAAGCCCCCGGGCGTGACTGTGAGGTCACTACCCTACAGGTTGCCCGAACACAAGAAAGAAGTGGTTCGGAGGGAATTGGTAAGTATGTTGGAGTTGGGTAATAGAGTCCAACAGTGCCTGGTGCAGCCCCATCGTCCTTGTGGCTAAGAAGGATGGATCCGTACGGTTCTGCGTGGACTATCGCCCCGGGTCGACGAGCTCCTGGACCGGCTAGGCACTGCACGTTTCTTCACGACACTGGATTTAACCAAGGGCTACTGGCAGATTCCTCTGTCGCCAGAGTCCAAGGAGAAAACGGCATTCTCCACCCCGTACGGTTTGTACCAATTTACCACACTTCCCTTCGGGTTGTTTGGGGCCCCGGCCACGTTTTAGCGCCTCATGGATTGGGTGCTGCATCCGCACGCTGCATATGCCACCGCCTACCTGGACCATGTCATTATCCACAGCACCACCTGGGAGGAGCATGTGCGGCAGGTGGGCGCAGTGCTGGAGGCGCTGGAACGGGCGGGGCTCACCGCCAACCCGGGGAAGTGTGCAGTTGGACGGGTGGAGGTACGGTATTTGGGGTACCACTTGGGGGGCGGGCAGGTGCACCCTGAGGTGGACAAGACGGCAGCCATCGCGGCCTGCCCGCCCAAGGCAAAAAAAGAGGTGAGGCGGTTCTTGGGGCACCCTGGGCTACTACCTCCTGGGACGCTCTTTCACCCGCTGTTCGGACCACGCCCCGCTCCAATGGCTCCACCGCATGAAAGATGCCAACCCCCGGATCATTCGGTGGTATCTGGCTCTACAGCCTTTTAATTTCAAGGTGGTCCATAGGCCGGGGGCGCAGATGGTCGTGGCAGAATTCCTCTCCCGCCCTCTCGAGGGCGAGGGGGGGTAGTGGGTTCGGCCGGATGGCTCCCCGGCCTAAGTCGGGCGGTGGGGGTATGTGTTGGCGGGCGTGGTTTGGCTTGGCTGCAGGGGGAATGGAGAAGGGAGTGGTTCAGGGAATGGTGCCAGGGGAGGCATAATCAGCCTCCGGTGGGACTAATCAAGCTTTGTGTTCTACATTTTAGTAGGAGAAATCCGGCGACGCTGAGAGAGGCGAGGAGGCTGGAGCTGTGTGTTATTTTGTGTGAACGTGGAAATAAAGCACTTTCAATGGACCAGACTGCTGCATGCGCATCATTCCGGAACCCCCCCCCCCTTAGGACGAACCTGTGAGGGTATAGAGATTCCAGTCACGGTCTCAGATAATCCCTGAGCTGAACGTTTTTGATGACGTATGGAAGAAAAGGCCGAATCACTCGAAATATAAACACTGGACTGCAATGTTAATCAGAGTTTCTGCTGTCAAACTTTGCAGCTAGATTTGGGTACGCCAGTCTGTGCGGTTTAACTGCGTGGACGGTCTAATAAATTGAATAGTTTTATTACATTAAGTCATCTAGCTGACCCTTTTATCCAAAGCAACTTACAATAAGTGCATTTCAACTAGAAGGATACAAACACATCTTATAAGCCAATGGATGGGCATTATAAGTACAATTTAAGTGATACAATTTTGTTTTTTAGGGTCTGAAGAGGTGTGTCTAGTTTGCGGCGGAAGATGTAAAAACTCTATTATGGTGTCATCAGTGAGCTCATTCCACCAATTAGGAGCCAGTGGCGTGCGGGTTGGGATGAAGGGTTTGACCGTAGACTGGACCCGATCCATTCACAGCACGGTATGAGAGTACCAATGTTTAGAACTGGATGCAGGCAGCCACTGGAAGCCAGTGAGGAGAGGAGTAGTGTGGGAGAATTTAGGAAGGTTAAAGATCAGTCGAGCTTCTCGATGAGCTGCAGGGGTCGAATGGCGGTAGCAGGAGAGTTACAATAGTCAAGGCGGAAGATGACGAGCCTGAATCATTATCTTCTGAGTGAGAAGGGGACGTTTTCTCCTGCTGTTGTAGTGCAGGCCTATTCAAATGTTTTAGTGGCCCACAAGAGATGTGTGTGATATGGGGAAAACAGTCCCTCACACCAACAAAAACAAACAAAAAACCCCACCTTAGCAAATATATTGGATCTTTGATCTGACTCAGGCATACTGTGTGATTCGTCCTTTTTAATACTTATTGCTGTGATTGGCTGCCAATCACACATTAGCTTGATTGTCCTGTTGGCGGGCCACAGCGAAACTTCTACTAGTTAACAAGCAAATAACAAGCCTCATGTCTCTCTCCAAGCCAAAAAAACGCAGTTGACGGTGAAAATCGCCAGTTCCAGAGCTAATGGACCGATAAGTATTTATTCACTTTGCCAGCTACAAGAAGCAATAACGTTTCACCCGTGTTTATTATGCAACGTTACAATTTCCATGATGAAGGAATATAATGTGAAGAGGCACTACTATTCAAATCACGGGTCTTTTTCCAACAATTTTCTTGAGGGCTCGGAGGAACGGTGAAGAAAAGTGCAAGGATTGCTAGCATCTTTTTAAAGGGGTCAAGTGGTCCTCGCTCGCTTTTGTACGGAACAAGAGAGACATGACAGCTTCCCTGGATTTAGCTTGGATGCTGGCCAGACAAGGGCGCCCTTTTACAGAGGCAGAAACAGTTAAAGATTGCATGCTGCGGTCATTGATGAAATGGTTACTGACGCAAAAGTTAGCAAAGCTCAGTGGCGAGCTAAAAAGCACCATGGACACTGTCATGAACATTGTAAATTTCATCCGCTCAACCTCCAGCCTGCAACATCACCTTTTCCCTCAGCTGCTTGCTGACACATTTGCTGAACACACCGACTTACTCGTCCATAACGATGTCCGATGGCTCAGCAAAGGAAAGGTTTTAAGCCTAGTTTATGCTTCTGCGTTTTCAGACTGACGCAGACGCAAGACGCCCTTGCGTGCCTTTTCACTGCGTCCTTGCATGCGTCATCCCATTTTTCTAGGCTTGCGTCGAAAGCAACGGTTTCCAGATCTTGCATTAGCAAAAATCAAGTCAAAAGCAAAAAGACTTTAATAGTCCAGAAGGCAAAAAGCAAAAGGCCAACAGGCAAAAACACACACACACAGGAACCAGGGGGGGGAAAAAGGCAGGCAGGACCGAGGACCATCCAGAACGATAGACAATGATGCCACCAGTGACAAACAAAACACACTGCCTAAATACACTAGGGAGGTGCAGGTGATTGGACACAGGTGGAAACAATCCGACAATCACAGGGGATGACCGGACCAGGCAGGAAGTTACCCGGGGACACGAGTGGCAGAAAACTACAAAATAAGACAGGAAGTGAACCACACCGTGACAGCTGTGATGGATAGAGACGGAAAAAACAGCATAAGGTTAACAATGGAGGGAATAACATACTCACAAGAAGTAAAGTCAGGTAAGGCAGAAGCTGAACAATCCCATCTCAATGAAAAACTACAATTAAAGGTCCTTGAGCTGTTAAGTCAATAAAGTTTAATGTTTTTACCAGTGACTATTGCACGAAACAACAACCCTGACAGGTTTCTGGAGCAGCCCCCAACACTTCCTTTGAACTGTCCCTGTCGTCTGTCAAAAGTTGTAATTAAAATACTCCTGATCTGGTTTTATGAATATTAACAAGGAAATTATGAGAAACTGCACCAGAACTCTCAGATCCCAAAAGGGCCTTGGACAGGTTTGCTCAAATTGAAGTAAAATAGCAATAGCAAGGAGTTTCTTAACTTGTGGCTTTGTTTCAAAATCTAGTTAATTTTATACGACTAAAAGAATAATTGGCAAGACTCAGAGAGGCAGAATCTCTTGGCAAATGGTTCGTCAAAACAATAAACGATAAAATGCGTTGTCACTGTAACAGATCTTTAACACCAAGTAAACTAAAAACTAGGGATAAAACTTGAATGCTTAGAAATTAAGTGCAAGACAAACTGGCTCTGGGAAAAGGGAATACAAGGGAAATTGTAGGAAGATGGGGAAAATGAGGGACATTTGAAAAAAAGGAATCCGGGCATGGCAAGCAGTCAGAGTGGGCAGGGGGGGGAGGCGGCGCACAATTGCAGGAACGTGAGTATATCTAAAATAAGACTGAAGATTGAATAAGTGAAATTAAACAAATAAAAAAGAGGTATTGGTTTCACTACACTGTAAAAACCGGGATTGGTGTTAATTAATATCTACTAAATAAATAATATTATAATAATATAATAATAAAATCTCTCTGGCAGTTGCGGATACGTCCTTTTCAGACTTTCTTTGCCAACAGGATTGGAGAAATCCAAGGCAGCACGCAACGTCAGGATTGGTGGTGGATCCCTGGAACGCTCAACATTGCTGATATTATCACTCGTGGGGCTGGTCCAAAAGATTTGGATGAAGGTTCACCAGTTCCTGAGTTTACCAGCAAATGAGTGGCCAATTAAGTCTGCAAAGGACGTATCCGCAACTGCCAGAGAGAGTGTTGGAAAGATGCAAAAGAAAACATTTACTGCCGTACTCGCAAGAGCTCAGGTGAAGAAAGGGCCACCAGACCTGGAGTGTCGGAGACCACCTGCTGGTGCTTCTGTCCGAAACCTGGTGGATGAAGGACGGTTCAGCAACCTGACTCACCTGGTTAAAGCGGTTGCCCAGGTCTGGAGAGCAGCTAAGTGCTTTGCAGCTCAAAGCAGGATCTTGGGGACTCCAAAGTGGGAGGCAGTTTCATCAGCCGGGGTCATCACTGCAACAGAGCGCCAAGACGCCTTAAGAGACCTTTTTCTTGCTGCACAAGAGGGCGTGACCTTTCCAACAACCACAACGGACCGGTTGGTAGTCTTCAAAGAAGAAGGAACGGGGCTACTAGTTTGTGGTGGGAGGGTCCAGGCTTTTGATGAAGACCGAGTTAGTGTTCCCCTCTTACCTTACAGTGCCTGGGTTTCAACATTGTTGGTTCGTGAAGCTCACAGCAGGGGTCACGAGGGAACAGCTGCGACTCTACTGAAAGTGAGAAAGAGAGCATGGGTCATCAAGGGACGGAGAATTGCTCAAAAAATCATTGAAAACTGTGTGATTTGCAAGAAAGCCAGAGCTAGAAGATGTCGCCAAGTGATGGGTGATCTGCCTCAAGAGAGAACCAGGCCAGCGGCTCCATTTGAATTCACGGCAGTTGACCTGTTTGGACCGTATCTGGTCAAGGATGATGTGAAGAAGAGAGTCTGGATGAAGGTTTGGGGCGTCGTATTCTGCTGTATGTCCAGTAGAGCAATCCACACAGAGCTGGCCAACACCATGTCGACTGAAAGCTTTCTGATGGCTTATCAGAGGTTCACAGCAATTCGAGGACATCGTAAGAAGATTTGGTCCGACCCAGGGACCAATTTTGTTGGTGCCAAACCTGTTCTGGAGGAGTTGTATCAGTTTCTGGATGGTCTGGATAGGCCTGCTGTGGAGGAAACTTCAGCTCAAAATGGAACCAGCTGGCATTGGGAAATCCAGCCGGCTGATTCACCCCATCGAAATGGCTCTGCTGAAGCAGCTGTTCGGATTGTGAAGAAGGCGTTCCAGAGTCTGGGGAGAGAATCAGAGCTCAGTTACAGCGAACTTCAGACGCCACTTCAGCTCGCTGCTAATCTGTCGAATGAGCGTCCCATTGATGCCAGGGTGCAGAGCTGTGAAGACACCGTGCAGTACATCACACCCAATGCACTCCTGTTGGGGCGGGCATCATCGAGTGGTGACTGGAAAACATTTGTGTTTACGAGCTACCCCTATAAGAGGCTTCAGGAAATGCAGCACCAGGTCAACAAATTCTGGAGGTCCTGGAGCCAACTTGCCGGCCCTAATCTCTTCGTGAGGAGTAAATGGCACACTACACAGAGGAATGTTGCAGACGGAGATATTGTTTGGCTGTGCGACCAAAATGCATTGAGGGGTAACTTTAAGCTTGGGAGGGTTATAAGTGTCAACCCAGACTCCAGAGGCATACTACGGGATGTGAAAGTCAGAGTTGTGACAAGCTCCTGTATCCCTCAGGTGAGACCTGCAACATCAGCATCCAGGCATCTGGCCTCCAGCATCTGGAGAGACGTTCAGTCCACAATTCTTCATCGGGACGTTCGACGATTGGTGGTTCTGCTGCCAGTGGAGGAGCAGGCAGGAGGCCAAAAAGGGGATCTCTGACCACAAGGTCACTGTGTGCGATCTCTCCAGCGGTTCTCGTGGGAAGATCGAGTGGGAGGTGTTGAGTTGAGTTGCAGACCGAGCCCCTCTCTGGCTGGGAGGTACGTTTAGGTGTGACTATCAGGCTGGAGGCGGACTATCACGAGTTCACAGTCGTTAGTAACTTCATGTCAAGTTAGTCACCCAGTTGCCGGTACTGAGAGGCCAGAAGGAGATTCAGATCACCATTTTTTTGTTTTCTCTATCGCAGTGTTGCTGTGGTTTCAATTGTCTTCGTTCGACCTGACGTTACACTGAGCTGCGTGTAAATGCTGGTTTAAGGTCAGTCATTAGAGCATGGTCCAGACTTTAAGCTTCCATTGAGAGGTTTCGTTAGTCTGGCTGTTACAGTAATGAGCATTTTATTACGCTGTGTTTTGCTGCGTTACTCGCCTAAGTAGTTGCTACTCTGCTTATGCCGCTAGACGGAATTTTACATTATTCGCATCTGTGCATTGATTTGGTTTGTAAACCTTACACCTTAAACCTTACACTTCTCGTGTGAGCATTAGAATAGTTTTTCATTTCATCTGCTATTATCACAATATAGTTGACAGTGGTTCCCAACCTTTTTTACCACACGGACCGGTTTCATGTCAGACAGTATTTCGAGGACCGGGGGGGTTGTAGTAGTCGTGCGCTCTGTGTTCACTGGCCGTGCACAGTAAAAGGACAAGAAGAACGCCTGGTTCTGACTTTTTTCATCATATTGGTAGTTGGTAGTATTGGTAGTGTATCAAACCGTGTAATGACATTGGTTAGAAAGACCATACTTCACCTTAACTGTGATAAAAATAAAAAAAAGGTATTTCAGTATCCACACCTAGAAACTTAATGAGGCTAAATTCAGTGAGTAGAGGAAAAATGCCATTCATAATGCCTCTCTTTACACCAGCGCCAAGCAAAGTCAAATTTACCATTAGTTGAACTTGCTTAAAAACCTGAGCTGGAGTATTGAAAACTTCTACAATTGTATAAATCATCATGATAAGTTAAAATAAATAACCCAGAAGACGTTACTATGACTTAATATTCAAATCCTTTTTTACAGTGTGTGCATCAGCACTGTACACACAAGTTTCTATCTGAACACATCCAGCAAGTAATGAAATGTCAATTATAAATTTCCATCCCCCCGTAAAACTGGAGGATGAGTCATCCAATCTCTGTGCTCTGTGTTGGGAATGCGAGAGGCTGAAGAGATGGGGGAAGCTTGGAACGCTTTAACGAGGAGAGAGTGATAACTGGCAGATTAAAAAGAAATAAAAGAAAATGGGGGATGGAAAGAAGCACATATCTTATTAATTTGATTTTAATCAGAGTAAAGCTGTACTCAAGAGACAAAACTATCAGCGCAGCTACAAGCCTTCCTCAGTGTCTTGTTTGCTGGAGAGTCATCAAGAACATCAGGATTCAAGAAGTTTACTGAAATACATTCTGCACATTTTGCGCTTTAAATCTAAAGTCAGCAGTGTTGTGCCATGACATTCTCTCCGGGTACTTTTGCTTCCTCCCATAGCCCAAACACATGCCGGATAGGGAGATTGGTGACTCTCATGCCAGCCCTGCAATTGACTGGCAACCAAGCGACGGTTTACCCAGTCTCTCGCCCGAGTGTGATTGACTCCAGCAACCCTCTAAGGATAAGCAAAATAGGAGACGACTGACTGACCGACCATCAAGTATAATAGTTTCTTATTTTTTCACAATGCCAAGTAAGCCAGCAAAGCAGTATGTAAGTGCACTTTCCTCTCCAACCCATAGGTCTGAGCAATATAGGATTGGAACTGAATTGGTCTCACCTTTAATTGCACTTTGAAGTGTGTGACTTCAGCTGGAGCTGTGTGACTGAAATATAACCCACTATTGTCTGATGACTTGTGACTTTTTTTATAGGTGAAATCCAGCTCTATAGTTAAAATTGATAGTTTTTAAAGGCTGTTTTTTACTGATATATATTCAGAAGGAACTGAAATTATTCTTTTTTTGTTCACATGTCGTACGTGTAACAAGATCCACTTACTCGTGGACTCTGAGCCAAATAACGGCAGTGTACCCAACAGCATTTCATAAATGTTATTTTCTCTCCTTCCGAGAATACTCACACTTCACATCACGTCTGTCCTCCTGGTACTACTACTAAGAGAAGACCATGGCACTGTTCCCTAAACCTAAACTTTCCAGTTATATTTATCCAAAGCAACTTACATTAAGTGCATTCAACCAAGAGTGTACAGAGCCAAGACAATACAATTTCTTCAAGAAAGCCAAGCCACAAAGGGCTATACTTAAGTGCCATTGTGAGGGCTAGCTAACTAGTCCAGGTCGGTAGAGGTGTGTTTTCAGTTTACCCTACAGCTCAGCCCAACCACGCCCACATTACATTTTCCTTCCCTCTAATATCCATTACATGCTAAATGTCTTTGCTAAATAAACTTCTGTCCTCACGGGAAGTTTAGGCTACAAATATACTATTACCTTCAGTTTAAATGTGTGTGAGCCAATCTCTATGAAGTCAAAGGCTAAAGGCAAAGGGAAAATCCAATATATAGTAAAGCAGACATATGGAAATTAAACACAATAGAAACCTTCATTCTGAACTTGACAGCAATATTGATATCTACTCCTCCAAATATCACTAACTACATCATCACCACTTCCATCAGAAAGATCATTTTCTACAACCAAACACTAGAACTGTAATTTCTTCCTAATGAGTCCATCCCTGGCCTCTTTATCAAACATATCTAAGAAGTAAACTATCTCCAAATGCCTTACTTTTAAAAACCGACACAAGAGAGCTCAGAAACAATAAAGTTTTCACAGATCCAGACTTATCCAGTCGAGTGGATCTAAAACCAAAATACGACTTTGAATTGGGTTGAGAGGACATCAAGCAGCCTGTGCGAGTGCACCACACTTCACTGCAGCCTTTCAGAGGGAATACTCAAGCACACAAGGACGCCTTTTGTCCTTTGGGAAACCGTAAATTGCTCACACTGAGCATACTTGAACAAGGGACGATGCACTCTCCTATGAACACACATTTTGTCTTAGTCCAACCCCACAAGCTTTGGCTTATGGTGACACAAAAATTAGGGCCACTGAGGCCAGGTGAAAGGTTTTAATGGCAGGGCAGATAAAAAGGGAGATAACCTCGCAAGAGGCAGCTCAGGACATTTAGGTTATTGGACATCGCAAATTTGAAACATACAAATGAATGATTACAACTAATCAGGCTCCTCACTCAGATAAGGACTTTGGTTATTTATTTTTTCTATACTCTTTCAGCTATGAGAAAAGACCGTTTGCTGCCTCATATTCAAAGCAGTAGTGTTGAATGACAATGCTTCTGCGGCTTTTGACAAAGCTGTAGAAAAGCACTCAAGTCATAAACAGACTAGAGCAATAGTTTGAGAACAGGTTCTGGATCAACCTGAACCAGTGTGTCATTTCCAATAACCAACTGCAAATAATTCAATAGCTATTTCTCTTCTCCCCCTCTTGTGGAATACCAGCAGCGGACGCATACAAAAAATAAAAGTAATTCACATCTGGATTTTGTTTTTAGAAATCAAATTACATAGAGGAATCCAATCCGAGCAATGAACAATGTTTCTTTTTGGCCGGGGTAAAAAAGATAACACAGTCCTGTGAGACAACCAATTTGGCTCTTATGTAGTAATGAGTCAAGTCCAATGGATTATTTGTTTGAATGAGGCTTTATTTAAATTTACAATAACTGCCCTCTTAGGGGCATTGTGTGTGTGTTGGGAAGGGGGTGAGTCTATGGAACAACAGAGGCATAAAGGGAAAGCTGTAATATTAAGGATTCAATTGTGTTGAATGATATAAAAAAAGGTTACGATTAAGATAGTAATGAATTTGGCTTTTGGAAGCAGTGAAAGCAGTAACACTGGAGTGTGATTATGTTGCAAATGAATCAATGAAGAATCACATCTGCACTTTTTTTTTTCTGTATGAAGTATGAATTCAAAAATGTTTGTTGAAATAAGACCAAAGCCAACAACGAACGTATCCTGCTAACCACCCAGCAGAGAGTGTGCGTGTGTATATTATGGCTTTTTAAAAATATAAATGTGCTGTGTATGCCAATCAGTCTGTGCGTAATTTAGCGAGTTGAATGGAATAGTAATCTTGACAACCATTTGAGGAGCAATAAATTACATTTTGAAAATCTTTGGAAATGAAAAACAAATAGCTCCTGTTATGAAAGCAAAAAAGGATAGCCTGTTTAACATTCAGTGAATTCATCCATACGAATCTATAAACAAAGTACATTTCATTCCTACATTTCATCTTCTGCACTGCAAGGCTGTAATTAAAGTAAGTCACATACTGTACATAATGCAATACATTTTTTTCTGAAAGAATTTTGATTGAAATAAACAACTTTAATTTAGGAGGTCTTGGAAATGGATCTCAACTGGAAAGCAAACTGTGTGCAGCCTTGAAGCAGTACTTTTTCAGCAATTAAAACCCTTTTCCAACTGGTTTTAGTGTTTGCCATGGCTTTCGCAATTAAGGGGACGAACATCAAGGGAAGGCAGCAAAGATTTTAATATATTTACATAAGTATTTAAAATATATAGGTTTTTTTGTCAGTTCAGATTCTTCAGTTACAGAATAAAACAATTCAGTAGTAAAATGCCAGTAATTCGAAGAGTTTGATTTTTTTTCCTCAGACAGACCGCCGTATAGAAAAAATGGAAACATAACTGATACTCATAAGATCAAAAAAAAGATTAAGAAATACTACTTAAGATACTACTTAAATACACTCCTTAAATGTCCCCAACATTTGTAATGTAAGCCATTTTGCTTTCCCAAGAGAATTTTGAAGTCATGCAAATTCCTTGGTAAGTGACTGTGCAGCCTTCCTCCACAAACCCCCTGATGTCATCCCTTCAATCATCAGTCCATCTTCCCTGTCGCACTTTTCTGGCCGAGCTTTGACATTCACATGCTCAACTTTCCAGCCTTCCTGTCATCCATGCAATCCACCATCCCTCGCAATTTAGTTTTTTTGTGATCCAATTTTTTTATTGATTTTCAGATATACATAAGAAATCCGCCATCCATTATCATGAATATACATATGCATATACTCACATATCCATACGTAGATATGCACATATACATGCATACATATAGACACAAACACACCCTCCATATACGCACATGCATACACCAACATACGCACACCCCCTCCCAGTTTATTGCTTATTTGTCCCTTTTGCCGCATCACACAGCATTCCCTCTAGGAGTCTCTAGGAGATCATTGCCAAGAAATGGTCCAATCCCCTTTCCCGAGAGGAAACACCGTATGCTTCACATGTCATAAGAGCATACCCATGTGACCAATGAGGAAAAGGCCAAGGTGAGGTGATATGTGCTGCTGCGAGAGGAAACAAGATAATAAAGTTCCATACATGCCTGAATCCAGTATTTGAGCATGGATTGTTGTTGGGAGAGGTTTATGATTCAGGACATGGACAACCTGAGAGATGGAGGAGGTGCTCTACATCTTGTTCAACCTTGGTGCATCGTGAGTCAGTATTTCAAAAAGTGTAGGGCAACAGTGCCATCATGTGTCTGACAGTGTTTTTTTTGTTCAGGTGGTGAAAATAAATTTTGAGCACTCAAGAAGAACAGGAAATCGGAGGTCTACTCAGACAAGAGGACAGAGCTGTTGCCAGACTGTAACTAAATTCTTAAAATGCACCAGAAAGTCAAGAATCCAACTCAAACCAACCCCAAATAACACCTGTGTTCTGCTTTGTTTCAATATATGGATCCTCCATTGCCCAAAATACAAATGATAGCCTTCTCTAAAATCAAAAGAAATTATGATTTAATAAGGCAGAAATATATTATATATATATATTATACAGAATTATACAGAATTTGGGTAAATATCTCAATGGATCAGATAACAATTGCTGTACGGTCAAATTTCTTTCTAAAGAAGATAAGGAAAATCAGCGCTTACTGGATTATACTGAGAGGTGTACATTTAATTTTTATTCATATTGGATGGAAACACAGTCGCCTCACAGCTAGAAGGTCCTGGCTTCGATTCCGCCCAGTGGCCTTTCTGTGTGGAGTCTGCATGTTCTCCCCGTGTCTGCGTGGGTTCTCTCCGGGTTCTCTGCCTTCCTCCCACAGTCCAAAGACATGCTCTGGGGATCAGGTTGATTGGGGACTCTAAATTGCCTGTATGTGTGAATGGTTGTATGTCTCTGTGTAGCCCTGCGATTGGCTGGCAACCAATCCAGGATGTACCCCGTGTATCGCCCGAAGTTGGCTGGGATGGACTCCAGCCCCCCCGCGACCCTGTGTGCAGGATAAGCGGTTTGACAATGGATGGATGGAAACACATAAAAAGTTAGAAGTAAACATTTATTTTATGGCTGATTCATAAAGCACAGCGATTTGATATAGCAACAATGATTAATCAATAAATATTTTAATCGATAGGGCTACATTTCACATACTTACCTACCGTTTGTCTTCTTATTACCCAAACATCAAGAGGCTGATAGGTAACTGCACAAACATTCCTACAAATTAAATTTAAAATGTACCTGAGCCAAGTAGTGTCTATAATATAGCAATCATGGAGGTTACATACTGTAAGATAGTTGTCATTAATGCTCAAACTCATAGTATTTAATATCTATAAAACATTGATCGATAAGGCTACCATTAGATAAATTACATTACAGGCCATTTAGCTGACGCTTTTATCCAAAGCAACTTATATTGCATTTTTAACCCATGGCTTTTACATTTAGGATTTAGGATTAGTCCTACGAAATTTTCTTGCGAGTTCACAGGATTCCGAGTGACTAAGAACTCTAGTGGCTATCCAGGATTCATAGAACCGTAGTTACATACGTAACTTCAACTTTCATCCTTACTGAACGCCAGAGGCCACAGTGTTCACACTGGATGACTTTTGTCAACAGAGTCACGAGGATTACAAGTAGCCACCTTGTATTGCTCAGGCAGAGGAATTGGGCCAAATAACCCTCCCCAGTGGGTGAGGGGTGGCACCGTTCACTCTGTAGTGTTTGTGAATGTGGTCGGTGCAGCACCTGTATCCTTCATAGGCATACCTCTCAGGACTGCCCACTTAGCCAATTATCTAATGCTGCGTTCACACCAAAAGCGAAGCGAGTCAGTCGCTCGAGTAGATTCCATTCAAAGTTAATGCACAGACGCGACTGGAAGCCAAGCCGACACAACAGGTCATCAAACTGACAGTACAGCATGGCGAAAAGTTGCTTCGCTTTTGGTGTGAACGCAGCATTACGGGTCTAAACCCAATTTAAACGCTCAAGCTCACGCTCAAGCTCAAGCTCACAAGCGTTTGAGCACTTTATAAAGAACAATCCATTTACACAGAAAAGCAACTGTGGATGGGTCGGGATAACTGGATGTGCGCTGAAAATTCCTTTTATATCATAAAAGTATCTGCAAATAACTGGACATGTACTTGATACATTATAAAGATATTTGTGGAAACATTTTTTAAATCCCCCTGTTCATTGTAAAGTATTTGTGGGTTTTATTGATAAAATACAATCTTTCCATTGTGATAAATTGTGACCAAACACTCTGCGTTCAGAGTTTTTTTCTAACAACCTTTTTCCTCCCGTCATCCACACAAAGGTGTCAGGACCAGGCATCATGTCACTCAGATCACCTGAAAAACATGGAAGATTTAATGGTACACTTAATATTATCAACGTGATTACAGTATAAAACAGGAGTGACAAAAATACAGAAGTATCTGAAACACCCTTTCCAGAACATGAAAAGGAGATTTTAATATGTACATTCTTTACCCCCATAGGAAAATAATGTACATATTAAAGTTGAATGCATCAATATATTAAATTCTTAGAGCTGAACTAATCAACGAGGGACCTTCAGTCCTCTTGTAAACTATTTAATCCGCAATATGTACTCCTCAAATGAACATCAATAACGTCCAACAAGAAGGCAATAATGCGGGAAAAGGCTACCTACAGTGGCTTTAAATTAACACAAAATGTCAATTACCGAGATGGTAGTCTCAGTATATACATTTATTAAGCTACAACAGTAGGCTATTTGTCAAAACGCATCTTTCAGTATTTAACCACCTCCTCCTTTCTGCCTCCTCCCCTCTCCGTCATTACGGTCCCTGACTGATGACGTATTAAACCGGTCGGTGTTTACAATGGCGGCTTTCTGCTAATTGGAAGAAAATGTATGTTCTCTACCTGCAATAAAAAGTCGTAGTTTTGCATGAAGGAGTAAGAAGATATTTCTTTCACAATGAACAACAGAACCTCATATTTTTATGACCCGGACGTGGGCAACTTTCACTATGGTGAGTTTTGTTATCGTAGTGTACAGGCCTACAAAGGGGAATGGTGCTGAAGCAGGCTAGCTACATGCTAATAACTTCAAGGACCGTCTTTAGGTTCCATTTCTCGCATTTCCGTGCATTCGGAGGTCTGTTGTGCAGGTTTTCACTAAAGCACAGTTTTATAGCATCCCTAAGTATTATGAAAATTCCACTAGTTCTGGTTTGCGTTGCTAGCTAACGTCATGTTACGGGTGGTCCGTTTTGTAATTTATTTAAATGTTCCATTTGTGTCACAGTTATCGAGTCGGTCATTTAACGCTTTATAGCGAGTAAGTTTAATAGTGGCATGTTTGCTTGTTTATAACAACCATCGTAACAATCGTCAAATTACATCGGATATTCACTTGAATCGGTCTCTTTACACATATTTTAATAAAAGATCACTGTGTCCAGGTGACTTATTTCATGTTGGGTGTAATGGAAGTTGCTCTAATACCCTTTGAATGCACTATAATGTGGAATCTGTCCGTCTCTACCAGGTGCCGGTCATCCCATGAAGCCTCACCGTTTGTCTCTGACTCACAGTCTGGTGTTGCACTATGGGCTCTATAAGAAAATGATGGTGAGGAGCACAAAGAGATCTGGTGTTATGGGCTGTTATTATATACAAACAGGGAAATTCTTACGGCAATTTCATTTTTCTTTTTTAGGTATTCAAGCCATACAAAGCGTCTCAGCACGACATGTGTCGGTTCCACTCTGAGGACTACATAGACTTCCTGCAGAAGGTCAGCCCCAATAACATGCAGGGCTTCACCAAGAGCCTCAACACATTTAACGTTGGAGATGACTGGTGAGTTTTACTTTGTCATAAAAACGCTTTGCCTACAATGCTCTCAGTACATTTGTTTTACACTATTGCAATTTGTCAATAGCATTCCAAATCTCCGTTGTTTCATAGTCATCAAATCTGAGGTCACTATTCGACGACGAATAACTGGACAATAACTGCACTATTTTTCCATCTGTTTGTTTTTGTTTTCAGCCCTGTGTTTCCAGGACTTTTTGAGTTTTGCTCACGATACACAGGAGCCTCCTTACAGGGAGCCACACAGCTCAATCACAAGGTAAACCAATGTCCCTAGTGTTGTTAAAACCAATGGTCTATGCTATTCAATTAGTTCCCCCGTCACGAGCATCACAGCCACGGATTTAGAAGTGTTTTTGTGTTATTTTAACGCCCATGGTAACCTTCCTTTTCCGCTGCTAAGCCGACGATGAAACAGAGATGAACATGTTTGTAGCAGATGATGAAACTGTGGCGCAGTCTTCCAATGGTTCCACAGCAGAGTCCGAGATGAGTTCGTAACCTTTTAATTGACACCTATTCTTCTTTGTGGTTTCAGATCTGTGACATTGCAATTAACTGGGCCGGAGGTTTGCATCATGCTAAGAAATTTGAGGTCAGAAGAAAATGCTGTATGTTATCATTCCTTCCTGCTGAGCTCATTACATTTAACTGTCGGGTTAAAAAAACAAAAATGATTTCTGTTTTTAAGGCTTCTGGATTTTGTTATGTCAATGACATCGTCATCAGTATTCTGGAGCTACTCAAGTAAGAGAGGGACACTCCTGTGAAGAACTTCTGTTTGCTGTGTCTGTTTCTCTCTTTACAAGCGTGTGTGTGTGTTACAGATACCACCCGAGGGTTCTGTACATCGACATAGACATTCATCATGGTGACGGGGTACAGGAAGCCTTTTACCTGACCGACCGCGTCATGACCGTGTCCTTCCACAAATACGGGAACTACTTTTTCCCGGGAACAGGTATGCATCTCTCTCAGAATTCCATGCACAATCTGTCGTTCCAGCACTGTTTTCTTTGTGTAGAGTACAGCCTGCATACTTCTGCACATCTTCTTTAATCACTGCAGAGACAACTGACATGTTCATTTGTGCAGACACTTTTTATATGTAGGCAATGCAGGGCTAAGAAAATAAATGTAAAATTGTGCTCTAGGGAAATATTTGAGTATTTATCATTGAATAAGAGAAACTATTTCATTTGAGCTTTTTCGATAGGCAGGAATCCTGGCATTAAATGTATACCTTTTATAAAAACTTCTTGGGAAAGAATATAAATAAAAAGATCATGAAGAAAGTGTCACAGCTTATGTCATATAGACTTCCTCCATCGACATTATGTTACTGAATTGTGTGTGTGTGTGTGTGTGTGTGTGTGTGCGCGCTGCAGGTGACATGTATGAGGTGGGAGCAGAGAGCGGTCGGTACTACTGCCTCAACGTTCCTCTCAGAGACGGCATAGACGATCAAAGTGAGTTCACTTCCTGCAAAAGTTTAACGACACAATGTAACCCCTTTATTCTAAAGCTCAGTGGCGGTAAAGATTCATACTGCTGTGAACTTCCAACAGCTGACGTGTGTGTGTGTGTGTGTGTGTTCAGGCTACCGGCAGCTGTTCCAGCCGGTTATTAAACAGGTAGTGGATTTCTACCAGCCGACCTGCATTGTTCTACAGGTGAGTCCGTCATCTTGTCTCAATGCCTTGGGCGACCGTTTGGAAAATGATGCATAAATGCAACACCGTCGGATTTTAAGGCTGCTTGGGACCCATTTTGAAGCCTGCGTGTTCCTCTCCTTCCAGTGCGGAGCTGATTCTCTGGGCTGCGACAGACTGGGCTGCTTCAACCTCAGCATACGAGGACATGGGTGAGACCGACTATCACTCTAAACTGTATTCCCCTCCATTTTGAACACTAGGTGAAATATTGGATAACAGGGCTTCCCACAAGGATATGGAGCTCGTACAAACCGTTTCTCTTTGTTATTAAGTATTTTTTGACCTGTATTGTCTTTGCAAACACTGACTCATTATATCCACTGTATACACTTGAATTTAGCTCTTATTTAGAGTTTTATGTGGCATTAATGGTAGGCTTTTCTGAACTCTGGCATGCCTGTTAATGTGTGCGTGCATGCTCTACTCTCGTTCAGCGACTGTGTGGAGTTTGTGAAGAGTTTTAAGATTCCTCTGTTGGTCCTGGGAGGAGGAGGCTACACCGTGAGGAACGTGGCCCGCTGCTGGTGAGCTTTCTACGCAACGTGTGGAGGTTTATGTTCAGATTATTTATAAGAGAGGCTTTGTGATGTAACATCCTCTTTTGTTCTGCTTGTAGGACCTTTGAGACATCTCTGTTACTGGACGAGTCTATCAGCGACGAGCTGCCTTATAGCGGTGAGTTTGTGCTTTGACAAATAAGTTCTCGTGATTATTCACCTGCGGTGCACCTCAGCGCATTTTTGTTTTCTTGTCGGTCCAAATGTCTTCAGCATCCGTAGTCCTGTCTTGTTTTTCTGACCGTTTCCAACATTTTTGCGCCGCCCGTAGGAAGAGCAACTCTGTAATTTTTAGTCGTTGGATTCAATGGATGTGACTTTTCCAACAGAAAAGCCTGAACTGACTTCCGTCCCCCCTCTACCTCTTGTGTCGATCCCCTTCAGAGTATTTTGAGTACTTTGCCCCGGACTTCACGCTGCACCCCGACGTGAGCACCCGCATAGAAAACCAGAACTCCAGACCGGTGAGTTTGTTTCGGAGACGCTGTTGACTAGTTGCAGTTGTTGCTGGAGAAATAAAGGTGATACTAAGTACATCTTTTCTGCCGCAGTACTTGGAGCAGATCCGTCAGACGGTGTTCGAGAACCTGAAGATGCTGAACCACGCGCCCAGCGTGCAGATCCACGACGTCCCCTCTGACGTGCTGAGCTACGAGCGCACCGACGAGCCCGACCCCGACGAGAGGGGGGGCGAGGAGAACTACACCAGGTCAGTACGCCTTCAACACGTCGGGTTGAAAATCGATTCAAGCGCTTTCATTTTTTGCTCACAGGCTTCGTTGGTTTGTCTCTCTCAGGCCGGAGGCAGCCAACGAGTTCTACGACGGCGACCACGACAACGACAAAGAGAGCGATGTGGAAATCTGAAACGTGAGAACGAAAGGACCTGAGCTTTTTATTTTGTTTTCTCGCAGCGTTCCAATTTGTGCTCTCAAAGTACCACGTCGTCGCTGCAGATTGAACAAAAACGTCTCTGAAAGGGCTGGGAAAAAAAAAAGTTCCTCTGTTCTTACTCATTCGGTATTCGCCCTAAAGTCACCCGCCCCCGGCGCTGATGTCACTCTGGTTACAGCTACTGAAATACACACCCAGTGTCATGTAAAGAGTACAGGACAAGACCTATTTGTTTAAAACTGGACCTGATGATCCTTATTGTTAGAACTTACAAACATTGTCAACAGGTATCAGAATGCAAAAAAAAAAATGCATCTTTTCCTTTATGTGCTCATGAAGATTTGCACATATCGATGTTGCTAATGGCATATTATTTTCTTTAATTTGTTTTTGCACTTGTAATCTTGGTCACATTGTGTTTAGTTATGCAATGACAAGAACATCATCTGTAACAATTTCCATACTTTTTTTTAATCAACAGAGTTGAATTCTGCCTAAGGCTGGTCTGCAGCCACCTGATGTTTGAGACAAACAAAGCTTTGCATTGTTTTAAACTAAACTGGATTTCAGATACAAATGAATCAGTCTATTTTCACATTTCACAGTCCTGCGTGGCTGTGAGAATCTATTTTAAAATCCTCATTAATGTGCCTAACGGCTCTGAAAAGTAAAGCTCGTGTGTGTACAGCTGGGCACCTTCATATCAACTTCTCTTTATTTTCTCTATTTCCATTTCTGTGAATGAGGCAAATGGACTTGAGTGAACGAAAGGGGAACTAGTTCCCTAGTCTCATCCCTTTCCTCCTGTACTCTCTGCTCTGTACTGTATAAATGTATGAACCGTGAGTGTGATGCTGATGTAGAAGAGGACGTTTAGTTTAGTCGTTCACCGAGCAACCGGACTACAACGGGCTCATCACAGACGTACATGGTAGTCACAGAAGAAGTATCTTCTCTGTCTGCCACATCAAGTTCTGTTTTTTTACCCAATGATAAGTTTTATGTGATTTCTTTTTTTATATTGTCTACTTTTTATTAAAAAATAAGTTGAATCAATGCATGTATTGCGAATGTATTTTGAAGGCAGCGCTTTCGGTTTTGAGTCTCGCCACCAGGAGGCGACATAATGGCGCTGAGAAAGGAAAATGTCTCCTGAATCTGTGTTATTGGCCAAGTACATTAACCAGGAGTTTGACTTAAATTTCTATTGGTAAATCTGAACAAGAGTAAACTCAAACATGTTGTTATTGTCTACTTAAGTAGACAATTATAACTCAACCAGGTTTTATCATTAACATTTTTTCTAAATAATGAACTTCACAGCAGTTTTACAGCTGTTTCTGTGGTTTATTTTGAAAAGTAACTAGAAAGTCGTATTACCATCATACCCGTTACAAATAAAGTTTTTCTATTAAGGGAGAAAAGAAGTGTTCCATAGTTTAGAAGGTGAGTTAAGAATTTAGGTTGACTTTTTTTTAAGTCTGCTGACATTTTGTAAAAAAGATACCATGTTATGCGAAATACATTAGAGATCATGCCCATCACTCATTAGTGTGGTTTGAATCAGTCCACGTTATTTACGGGTGTTCGGAAATTAAACAAAGATAAGGGCCCATCTAATGAAAGAATAAAGAATCCTATGTGATGAGTATTATCTGCAATTGCAGAAGGAAACATGTTGTGGGAAAATTACTAATAGCAGCACAAAAGAAAATCAAACTCCATGAACACAAACCCATAGCTGTTATGTAGTAGAAAGAACCATTGGATTTTGAAACACACAGTTTTATATATTTCCTCTTAGTTACAGTTTGACTCCCTTCAGTTTGTCTAAACCCTTCCCCTCTTTATTTCCATCTTGTGTGTGTGTGTGTGTGTGTGTGTGTGATGATAAGAGCAGATGTGCAAGGGGGGTCCACCTGCACAACTGTACACACTGAGTCACGTCCGCTGCATAAATGCGTGTGACGGCTGAACTCGGGAGGAGTAAATAATTTCTGAAACTGGGCAGTTTTTTAAAAACAAACACCAAAGCAGACAGAGAGCAGCCTGGACCTGCATCTTCCCAGTGAGACATATACAGTTCTGCCAGAAAAGTAGGACTGAAACCATCTGAGCCCAAGGGTGGTGTGGAGGCGCTCTAGGAGGACAGTGTGATCCACTGTGTAAAATGCAGCAGTCAGGTCCAGGAGAATAAGGAGTGAGGAGGATCCTGCATCGGCTGTCATCAGCAGGTCATTTGTCGCCCTGAGCAAAGCTATTTCCGTGCTGTGAGCTCAACAGAATCCGGACTGAAATCTTTCAAAAAAGTTGTTGTGCTCGAGGTGGTTGTGAAGTTAAGAAGCAACTACCTTCTCTAGCACCTTGTGGCAGGAAGGCAATGTGGGAGATATAACCTCTGGGTCCAGGGTGGGCTTTCTGAGAAGGGGACAGATGACAGCATCCTTGAGAGCAGGCGGGACACAGCCGGAATGAAGGGAAAGGTTCACAACGTTGCTGTTGAAAGGACTGAGAGTGGGGATATGTGACCTGAAGAGAGCAGTGGGAAGGGGGTCCTGGGTGAAGGTATGGGATGTCATTTTTCTAAAGGATTTCCTCCACATGGCTCTCCTGCACCTCAGCGAGATGTAGAGGAGACGTCACACTGGCAGAGAAGGCGTTAGTGTCAAAGGGAAGCAGAGGTGGAGACGTGGACATCAGAGAGCGAATCCTGTTGATCTGAAAAAGTCAATGAAGCTTTTGCATGGCTCCTCTATAGCCTCAGTTAAAGAATATACTTTTTCCCATTCCACCACTGGCGTAAGGCTTGGAGGGCCATGTTGATTAGTGGTGGGCATAGTCACCATCACCATTGTTAAGTAGTCAGGAGGACTAGGAATGGTTGTGGTTCAGGTTCCGTTTTATGAAGAGCGCATGTGTATCTGCAAACGAACCAAAGTTAGCTTAAATGGAGGCCTAGAGTTCGGGACCAATATGCAGCAAAGTGGAGGTCATTCTGCTCCTTAGGGGCATATGATTCGTAACTTGCACACAGCCATGTATCACTCTGTGAGCTGTACATCGTCTCCCGTTGTCCATTTTCCTCACAAAGTTCACAATGAGTTCATTCTGAATATTAACTGGTCGCTACTTCCATACTGACCTCTTCTCACTCAATTTAATGCTAAGCAACGGAAATGTGCTGCCATTACAGGAGAATATATGTATCGTGTTAAAACATGGCCGTGGTGGGGTGCACATATTGTGGCTTAAAAACTCAGCTTCCAACTTGCAGTGCTCCTGTGCACCATTTACTTCTTAAAGCCAATGCACAGTGCATTTATATATAAAATAACCAACAACGCATAACAGAGTTAGACTGACTGACTGTAAATGTAGAGGAAAACTCAATGTAAGAAAAGAAGTCAACAAAACTTGCTAGCCAGCGTTAACAAATACCTTGACATCAGGCCATATGTGCTGCCTCATGGAGCCATAGCACAGCCTTAGACTCAGAACATTTAGTACACTTAGACGTTGTACTTTTCTTTGCTGGAAAAAGAAAAGCCATTTGTGAACAGAAAGTGTATGTCTTTTAATTTTATGCATGCTAAAATATAATGGCACTAAACATTATGAATTGGGCAAAACAAAAAAACGTCTTCTGGTGATGAATGGCATGAATGTAGTTAGGGGATCTCGTACAATTCATTCTGAGGGGCACAGCAATATATCTGAACAAGACACCGTGGCAATTGCTCCAATAACTGGACCAATGAGATGACAAGGAACAAGGAAAAGTGGTGCAAAAAAAACGTGGATATTATCAGCTGTTGACCCAGTAGACCAATTCTGAATCCCTGGTTGTAAATCACTGGGTAGATACATGCAATGAGAGTGTACATCAATTTGTAACACACATTGACAAATGAGCGGTGGAATCCTCACAGCAGTTGCCATGAAAAACAAATGCCATAAAAACATCACATCACAGATGTGTACAGGGGTGTTTCGCAGCGGTGTGGCTTCACATTAAGCCTCTTCAGACTCTACCTCGACTAAAGACTAACAAATTGTAGCACTTAAATTGTACTTGTAACGTCACTCATCTATAGCAAATTGTAAATTGGCTTTTTTGAGGAAATTGCACTTTCTTGTTTCTTGTTCTCCTGAGTTTGTACCCTATGGTTGAATACACTTATTGTACGTCGCTTTGGATAAAAGCGTCAGCTAAATGACATGTAATGTAATGTAATTAAGCAACTGGGCTTGGCTTGAGATGTAGAGCAAGACCGGTGTGATTTAGAGCAGCTTTCTGAAAGTTTATGTCATTGATGAACTAATTGATTAGCTGCAAGCTCTGAAAAAACTACAAAAGTTTCTGCTCGATGAATACTTAACGCCAAGGCTTTCAAAGCGTCTGAGTATTCACTCAGATATGAAGATAAGGTGTGTCCATCTGTCTTAGATATGTAATGTTTACCTTCATCTACTCCAATGATGTATTTAAAAGTTTGCCCAGTGATAAACACATCCATGTATTTATCCACCGAACTCTGGAGAGATTGTTTTGTGACTTTCTGGATCGGTCCAGTTCAAAGATAAACTGGTAATCAAGAAACCAGTTGACAAAATACAGTCCGATGCAAATTGGGAAGTTTGGATTTTAAAGCACTATTCAATGCATTTATCAGTATGAAACGATTAAAATAGATTCCAGGCCTATATGGGCCATTTGCCTGCAAACTAATAACTTTTTCCAATAGATTTTCCCCCCGCAGTGGTTGGTACTATATAGACTTAAATCTTAGCCCTGCATTATTAAAAAGCCTTTGTTGCAGTTTTCTGAGACTAAAATCTTAGATACCACCTTGACAACAAAGTCCCTTTGGCAACCCTGAGATTCCAAGACACAGCCATTGCAGTAACGTACAATAAATAAATACGTTGAGGGGTGTTTCCGCATTCATCACAGAGGCAGTTATCAAACACAGGTTTAGAGCACCAGCTGAATCAAGAGAATCAGTTAAGCTCAAGTCAACAGGCGACTAATCCACTGGCCAATATTTGTAAGGGAGCCTCTTCTGCAGTAAAGCTACTCCAAATAAACTAGTTCCTTTCAAAAGGGGATATACTTTAAAATCTCTGTCTGCCTACAGGACTATTGGGTACCAAAACAAAGAGAGACCAAGCAGATTATAGAAATATGGAGAGAAAGATTGTTTGATAAGGACTTTCAGACTTTCAGAACGCATGAGATGAAGAGAAGAAGAAACAGCGGTGAGAGATTTAATGGGAACGTCTGACAGGTTAAGACAGGAATAATATAACTGTACCCTGAACTTTTAGCCAAGTCACAATAAAAAAAAAGAAAGTCCATTTTTGGTGGAAACATTGCCAACTTATTACATCTTACTCATTTACAACTTTCGCTGTGCGTCTTCATTTCATGAAAGTTCATTGTAATATATTTGGTCTACAAATGTCTGATTTGGTCAAACTTTGGCTAGGCAGTGCACAAACCAGTAGGATGTGTGTTTGTGTAGATTGCAGGGCTTCCTGCTTCTTCAGAACGCTGCTGCTAGAGTTCTAACAAAGACCAAAAAATGTGAGCACATTACACCAATTCTTAAATCCTTACATTGGCTCCCAGTATGTCAGAGAATTAATTTCAAAATCCTACTGCTCACATATAAATCACTACATGGTTTAGGGCCAAAGTATATCACTGATATGCTTCCACTACATAAGCCTTCAAGATCACTAAGATCTTCTGACACCAATCTGTTAGTGATTCCCAGAGTAAATACAAATCATGGGAAAGCATCATTTAGTTACTACGCAACAAACAGCTGGAATAAACTTCCTGAAGATTTAAGACTTGCCCCAACTCTGACCACGTTTAAAACAGGACTGAAAACTTTTATGTTCAGCTTCACCTTCTGCTAAATTTTACCTACGTTGCACTTTTAACCTCTGCTTTTAATTAAACAATTTAAATAAGATAAAATTAATTTATAATTTTATTTGCTGTTTTTAATTGTCTTAATTCCTGCATTTTATTTCACTTTATTGTATGAAATGTTACAATGTGAAGCACTTTGAGTCTGCCTTGTGTATGAAAAGTGCTATACAAATAAAATTGCCTTGCCTTGCCTTGCCTATGTGTGTGTGTGTATGTGTGTGTGTGTGTAGATTGGTGGAAAAAAAGGTGGAGAGGAATGCATGTGAAATACTGGCAGCAGGCGCCATCATCAGTATGATGAGCTGATGAGGGAAGTTTTATGTATGTGTACGTACAACGTTTCTGGTTACCAGAAAAGTGAGAGAAAGTGCTGAGTGATGCAAAATTGGAGCTGTCTCCGATATCAGACAACTGAGGATTAGAAACAGGAATCCCATCACTTCTGATGCAAAAATCCTGCAGTCGGGAAACATAACTGGCACAAACCAATGAAACATGCAGTTGGATGGGATGTACTGAAATAAATGACATACTTGAAAAAACTTTGGTGGAGGCTTCTCCTCTTATCTCTGTACTACTGAAGTGTAACAATGTAATTGTTTTATTTTCTACAATTGAGTATGATTTAATTATAATACAGAGAACCATGATAGTTCCACTGGTAGTGAAGCATAAGAAGGGAAAAGAAACCCCACAACAACAGGCTTTTGCTTGATGTTTGCAAGCGTTGGCTTGTATCACTCATGAATGGTTCCATCTCTTTCTTACCCAGCTGAAGTAAATTAAATAAAAGCAGGCAACAATAACAAAAGAGCTCCTGTTTCAAAAGAGCTATTCATGTAGAATTGTTTAGAGCAGGGACTTAAGCGTTTCCAAATGTTAGCAAAAAAGATCAATTTGCAGTCGGCCCGCTCCATGCAACCACATTGTGTTATGAAAGGGCCAGACCTTTATTTCTCCATGACAAAAACCTGTCTGGAATCTTGTGAATCACTGCGTCAACACAGACGAGGAACGTCGCCCCGGTGTTTGAACACTGCAGGTATTAGATACAGTATCAGGGTTTATAGAGACAATCCCACAGACCCACCCATCCAGTTGGGAATCACGGTGAATCTAATCCAGCTAGTTTACATGAACAATACCCGCTGCTTGCCAACTTTTTGCAAAGTACGCATTGCTGTGTGCGTGTGTGTGTGCGTGTGTGTGTGTGTGTGTGTTTAGCTGCCGGGCGTAGGCTTCATGTGTACAGACGGATCATTGCAAGTGGCTAATCTGTATTCATCAAGCTGTAATGTACCTTCACGAGGGAGAATAGAGAGAGAGGAAGAGGAAGCTGGAGAGTTGGCAATGGTGAAAGCAGTGAATAGAAAAACAGCCGTGGGGGGGTTTAGAGTGGGCAGAGATAGAGGGAGGCGGTGAAAAACACAGAGTGAGGAAACAGTGAAAAGGGAAAGGGAAGCGATAATGTTTCCACCAGGATTGGCTGTGTGTAATGGGAGTCAGAATCTCAGCGAGGGGGAGAGAGAGTGAGCGGGGGGATAGTTAAAGCAGAGGGAGGGAGAGGACCTGAATGGGTGAATGGAGGAGGCAAGGGGAAGGAGCAGAGGTGTAGGCGGATGGAGAAGCAGCATTCCTGACTGAGCAGTTACGGAACGGGGACGAGAAGGAGGTGATCTGAAATCCAGATGCCTAAAGGACCAACACAAGGGTCAGACTAACATACTCCCACACACACAGATCGAAAGCGCTCCATCCACCCTCCTGCTCCCCCTTTCACAGACGTTGCGACCTCGGTGGCTTTACAACTCAGAAAACATCCACGAGACAATAACATCAACTGGATACTGTTTTTTTTAATGCCTTGTAAATCCTAGTAAAACTCTGAAGACTTTCCAGCCTGCAGGGATAACTGAAAACTTGTTTTGAAGGTATTTTTTGAACTTTTATTCTTTCCCTTTTCTGGAGGAATTTTATGGTGAGTTTTTACATTTTTTACAAAGAGAAATTATTGTTATAAGTAAATGAAACGGAGGATGTTTCTTTGGGTTACGTCTTTTACTGAGCTTCTCTGTATTAAAACCTTGCGCTTTGCACTGAAAACCAACACCCACCTGAAACCAAAGGTCTGCATTTTCAGTAGCGAGCTGACAGCAGCTGTCGTGTCACTGATGAGTAATTTTCCCTCATTTAGTCTGAAAGGGTCAAGTGGATTCGGCTGAGGTTGTTGAAGTGGTGTCAAAAGGTTGCAAAAGTGGCAGTTTTAGAGCGGCAGTTGTCTTCGCGACGTGGAGGAATGCCTTCACACTCTGAAATCAGATTCTTTTTGTGAGCATGTGGTCAGTGTTGTGTGAACCCATCTGTTGATTGACTTGTGAGGAATTAACAGCAGAAAACAATCCAGATTATTACATTATTTTGACAATCTTCTTGTATGTAGAACGCTTTGAAATTTAGCGCATCTTCAAAAGCTTTTGTACTTCTGTTTTTGGCCTCCGTAAAAAACAAAAGCCGCAAAAGACTCCCATATGATTAATAGTGGCAAATATTTACCCTCTTTGTACTGTGTACGAGAAACGGAAAATCTCTGTCAAACAGCCTGTTTCTAGGAAAGGGTTTGTTTACTGAGACGGGTCCTGTGGCGAGGTGCACCTCAATCGTATTGGTACCAATGTGCGCTCCAGGCAAACAGACAGTATAAGTAGTCTTTTGGTATTTATTAGCAACACGCTGCTTAGTTTTAGCAACTGAAAGCGGGCCGGCTTTTTAGTAATAAAAAGCAACGGACAGAAAAAAGCTTCCTTGTCTTTGCCTAGACAAAAGTCCTTCAAGAATAAGAAAGGCTGAACAAAGTAAGTTGGAGAATCACGGGACTCCCCATGAGCATCTTAAATATAAATGTTAAAATAAATTTTTCTCATTTACAAACCCATCTTAAAAAGATTTTTCTAAAAACACCAGACACAGTACACTAAAAGAAATTCGCAAAAGTGCATGGCTGTGCATGAAATGATGGATGTTATATTTTTATATGGAAATAAAATAAAATAAATAATGTTGCATGAAAACATGTGGAAGCCATTCTGAAGTCGTTTCTTGACATGTGTTGTCTTGAACAGAGCAGCTGTGGCTTGGCTGGCAGTCAGCGTAATGCTTCTGACATTAAGATGTGTTGGCCTCACTCACACATTCTTAAAGGAATACACCATGTACACAAGGCTGGTTTGGCTTTTGATACGTCAAAGCATGAACACTAAAGAGAAGTCCCTTACATTATTGACTACATGCTAGCTTGAACCAAGTTCAATAACCCTTGACTTCCCAAAAAACATGATATGCATGAATGTTTTTCCTTATCCCACCGATTATTACGATTACAGCAATGTTTTGCTTCGGTAAGCAAACTTCTTTCTCAATCACATAGCTCCATACTGTTAACAAAAACAAAATATGAAAGGTGGATAAGTAGGCTACTAATGACATTCATTTAGCTGAAATTACATTTGATTTAGCTGATGCTTTTATCCCAAGCGACTTACAATAAGCGTATTCAACTATGAGGGTTCAGACCCAGAACAACAAGAATCAGGAAAGTACCAAACCAAACTACTAAGTGCTTTAAGTAAGTGTCATCTCAAGTGCTTCAACATTTCTGCTCAGCATTGATTTATTGAAATCCTTAATCAGCATGACTTTGACTCCCAGCAGTTCAATCCCTGATCTTGTTTCAAGATACTCCGCTGAAGAAACGGACGATCGTAAGACATAAAGACAGCCTGTAAAGAAAAGAAACAATGAAGTGACATCACTATGTGCCAATGAGCATATGATTTTGATAAGCTGAGGGTTGAATAGTTCTGTGCTCTTGCTCCAGAAGTACTTTATCTCTCTCTGGTGAGATTCCGTTAGGGCTACTGAGTAATTCCATTGTCCAAGGACACACTTTTCTCATCACCCCAACTCTCTCCTTCTGTTTTCCATTGCTCTTCTGCACCCCAATGTCATACCTCCCATTACCTTCTGTATTCACAGTCTTCTGTTTTTACATCGCTCTCCTCATTTCCTTTCCTGTTCACTCTACCGTCTCAAAAGTGCTAACATAGAAGAGCTGGCAAAGAAAAGGAGCATCAAACAAACCATCTGGCTGACAGCGTTCATTGTCATTATCATAACCTTGATCCTGGAGACCGACTGAACAGACACATTTATTGCTCCGTAAAGTTAAAGGTAGAAGGTAGAAGCTGTCGCAGCGTTTTTAGTCTAACCTGAGACGTGTTATGTAAAACAACGGCCGTGTGAAACCCCTAATAAACTACATCCAATATCCCTTTAACGTCATTTGAATTGTAAGAACGACAACCGCATTTTCACAGACTGGGTGGGACATTCATTGTGAATCTGTGTAAGTCTAATGTCAGGTAATGGCTTTTTATGATGATGGACACCAGGTGGTAAAGTCATTAGAGACCCGAGGAAACACGTTCAAGTTGGTGGAGTGTCGACCCCAACAAGGGCTCTGTGCTCTGTATTTGACCCTGACTTCTGACCTCCCTATACAAGGATTTACCTTTGTGGATCAATAAGGATTATTATCACACATATGCCATCGGCTAATGTTTATACTTATATTTTCGACTGTGTTTGTTCTTTGTTGACCCGGTGGAGAGACAATATGAACTGGATTTTAAGGGTAACATCTCTTTTTTAGAGTAACAATGTTTTTTTCTGTTGCACCCCTCAGCTTGTCTGTTTGCCAACTCTTTAGAAATGGTAGACCCTGCTGTATTTCCTGCCAAAGCAAGCTCTTTACAGCCTCTGGACACTACCTGTTTGGGTATGTTTGCTTCTCCAAGGTTGGCGGAGACGCAAAACCGAGCTAGTAGAGAGTGGAAATTGATCTGGTGGCAACTTCTGAAACAAAATTTCCGAAAATCCCCTCGACCAACTTCATTCAAATTTCTAACAATTGCGTTGAGCACGTAGATTCTTTATAGATCTTAACTGTCACCTCTGAGATGAGTTTAGCATGAATATTAATATTATACCAGCACATCAAGGTCCAGGTCAAACTTTAGCGCAATTTCATCCTGAGGTCCTGTCACAAATTTCTCACACACACACACACACACACACACACACACACACACACACACACACACACACACAGCTGTTAGGTGAATTAGTCTCTGTGAGGAGAGAACACAGAAATTGAAGTGGAAACCAGAAACCCCCAAACTGGCCTCTAATGACTTTCAAAGAGGTACTTGAGTTGTTTGGTACCTGCAAACTTTCTTTTCTTCCCTCCTTCTCTCTCCCCTGTGTATGTTCATGGGTATTGAGGGTATGTAATTGGTAGGTAATCCCCTCAAAGCAGCTTGTTAACATTTAAACTGACATAGTGAAGGCCAGGCCACCTGGAGCTGTAGCAAACCACAACGGACAATGTTAAGGGCTTTTTTTTTACTCTATTGTATTGTGTGTGGCAGTTGTTTGACCTGGAAGAACTCAAGTCAACACATATTTCCTCGTCTGGAACATGATTATGTTGGATAAAAAAGGATTTACTCTCTGCTGAGTCTTCCCGTGCAAAGGTGTAGTTAAGACGGGCAGAATTCAATCTGCTGGATCTACCTTGAGGGCGAATAGTTTGGTGTAAGTATTGCTGCTGCAGTCATCTACTTACTCAGCTATGTTTGTTTTTTTCACAGCCCTTCGCTGTGGAATTTTTCTTTTCCTCGCCATCTTTCTTTCTATATCTCCTTATTTCTGTCGTTCTGTCTATCTCTTACTTTTCCTCATCTTAACATTTACAGTTGTACCAGTTTGGGCATGTGTTAAGTGATTAATGTTCCAAGAGTCATTATGTTGATTATCTTTTATCAAGTAAATAAATCATAAATAAACCATAAAATGGTCTGCTGTTAATGTGTCTAAAACCAGTCTTAGTTTCAACTTTAGACACTTGTGTTCTGTGTGAAACAATACCTCTATGTTGATAAATTCAAGCAAATCCAGACAGAAAAATTGAACGAAAATTAAAGCATGAAAACCGCTGCATGGGGATACATGCAAAGTGCTACACTAGGTCTCCAGTTTAACAATTACAATCGAGATACAATCCACAGCCATGTAATAAATCCTATAATGTCTAAATCAATCATTCCTTCCTGCAGGTGTATTGATGGCGTAAGCGGTCAAACAGCTGTCCGGTCATGGCGCTGTGGTGGTGCGCCAACTCCTTCTGCAGGTTGGCTGCAACGTGTTTTCCCCTGCTCCTCTCATCACTGCTATGGCAAACGGTAAATGTGCATTGCACAAGCTTGAAACCACTGGCGTAGCTGCGTAAATTAGAAAAGCTTGGCTGAAGATAACAACAAGAAAAATTTGCTAGCGCTGTTGATGCTTGTTCAGAGGAAAACTAATCATTTTCCAATAAAACTTTGGCCAATGTAATGAGGCACGGAGACACAACCCCAAGGGTGTGACATTTCTTAAAACTAGGTCTTGTATTTATCATGATGGAATGGAACAAGATTAATATACCTGGTCTGCTTTATGCAAGCCATAAATCAATTGTCAGTGGCTACGCAGGTCTGAACTCATCCGTTTGCTTCTCCTTCCCTTATCTCAACCTGGCTGAATTTCTCATTTTGCATCTGCTGCTCACTGCGTTCTCCTACCTCCTTTATCATACATTCCCGTGTTTATCTTCTCTGCTCTCCACCCAACCTTTCATAGATCTGCCCTCTACGTGCCATCCTGCCCTGCCCACGTAGTTGCAGCTGTCCGGGTGTTAAAGAGGTCCACTGTACCTTCAGACATCTCACCACCGTACCGAAAACCTTTCCTAAAGACACGGAGAGGCTCAACCTCGGGTAGGACTTGTTCGCCGTGCACAAACACACACGCGCACACGGCAGCGTTGGGACATTGTTGTGAATCACATCACACATCACAGGTCATTTAGCAGACGCTTTTATCCAAAGCGACTTACATTACACTTTAAACCCATGGCCTTTTCACATTTTTGCCTGGGGAGCAATTAGGGGTTAGGTGTCTTGCTCAGGGACACTTCGGCATGGAACATGGGGCAGCCTGGACTCGAACCACCAACCTTGTGCTTCCCAGCACACCTTCTCTAACCCCTGCGCCACGACGAATGGTAGCCCGAATGGTAGCCCGTGGGGAAGAAACCAAAACACTTCACAGGAAGTAGATTGGAATGTGGAGTAGGTGATTTGTCAGGGGAGTGTTTGCTCTGAGAACTCGCGAATCAATTTGCTGAGGCAAGGGCTTTTTGGTTGTCGAGGTTGAGATCACTTTCTATTACGGAAGAGTTACTGTCTTGCTTACCATCGTTGGATAATGACACCATGCTTAGGAACCAAATAAGCTACTTTTACTTTTACTAGTTTTACGTTTACAAAGAGTGCAGTCTCATTACTTCACTTTTGTACGCAGCCCATGGTGCATTTATTTTTGTTAAAATCTGCAACTGTTTTGTATGTAACAACCATCCTTGTCTAATAATTGCCTCCTAAGTTATCCATAATTACATGGCAAACCACTTGGCAGGTAGGAGGCGAGAGTAAGCATCAGTAAACCTCCCTGTATGATTCATGTAAAAGGTATCAAACACACATTATTACTTTGCAGTTAAATATATAACATTTATTCCAACAGTTGAACATAATATCTAATTCAAACAATTCAGTATATTAATGAATATATATATATATAGAAAAATCAAAATATGATATAACTACCATATTATAACTATTATAAATATCCAAAATAAATTTAATATAATAAATATATTATATTAAAGGATAAATATATTTATATAAAATCTATTAGAACGTGTATATGTATATGTATTGTGTCAGGGGTTGCGGGGAAGGCAAGACTCAAATGCAGAGTTCGATTAACAAAAGAAGACTTTAATAGTCAAAAATTAAAAGGTCAACGGGCAAAAACACACACGAACAGGGGGCAAAAAGGCAGGCAGGAACGAGGACCATCCAAGACGATAGACAATGACGCGACCAGTGACAGGAGGTGCAGGTGATTGGACACAGGTGGAAACAATCAGACAATCACAGGGGATGACAGGACAAGGCAGGAAGTGAAGTTACCCAGGGAGACAAGAAGCAGAAAACTACAAAATAAGACAGGAAATAAACCACACCATGAAATATTGAGATGCACCTAGGAACCTAGTTTTTTGAGGAAACACCCAATCAGTGTGTTGAGGAAAGTCCATCTGCAAGGCCCCACAAATGAATTATTTTGGATAAAATGTCCCAGTTTTCATCTACTTCTCGGTTGTGTGTCCTCACACAGTCCTGTATGCGTCGCAGCTGGGTAGCGATGTTAACTTTAACACAGCGACGTGACGGAGTTTATCGCTGTGGTCAACTAGCCTCCACTTCGTGACTAACAGTAAAGCCCATATAAGGCGTTAGCATGTAGCTAACTAGCTAGCTAAACTTCCCAGTGTAACATCTCTGCAGAAGCCTCGGCTTCTCTTTCACGCCGGTCCGTTGTCTGATTGTGAGGTCTGATCTGGGTCCAGCAGTTTTACCTCTAGTTTCTCCAGCAAGGTTCTTCTCTCGTACGAGTTTGGGTCAGGTCTACATGGAAGGACGCTGCCGGTGGTCACTCTTGTTAGATGTCCTGACGAGAGTGCAGCGTAGGGCGGCAAAGGGCGAGCCCAAATCTCAATGTATTTTAAGATGCTGAAATTATAATGTCACTCATTAACTTTATCAGTGACTGGCTAACCGCTTCTTAGACCCGCCGCTTTGGGACCATGAGACATAAAGACAAGTGTAGAGGATGTGCAGGAAGAGCATATATTTTGCACTGGTTTATAATCCATTTTTCAAAAACACAAATATTGACTATTTGTGAAACGTATTTATGATATAATTAACAAAAATGTCATATCATTTTCTTTTATGGGGGGTTCAGGTTAGGGCCATGCCCCCATTGCCCTGTATGGACCAGCCCTCACTGGTTCACAGCATTTATTTTTTAGCATTGGGAGGGGCTTAACACTGCTGAACACATTACCTGATAGAATGGACAAAGGTACTGCACTTTTAAATGGACATTTTCATTTTAAACCTCTACCAAACAGTGTATACAACCCTGAAGTACCACTTAAAGGCGTAACACAGCATTGGTGCCAGCCAACTAGCTACCCAAATAACTAATGTAGCGAAACTTCGGACGAATGAACGCAAGAAAAATTCAGAGTAATGGATAAAAAAGTGTTACATGTTAAAAAATGTTAAAAGTAAATTTGATCATCGTGTAACATCTCAACGCACGTCACTTTTTATTGTCTTTTTAAAGATTTTCTAAAGGAAATCCACGACTTAGACTAAAAAGTTCCCAGCACAGTAAAAATTTCAGCTGTGTACTTTTTTTTTGATGCTAGATCACATTACCTCACTCTAGGGATCCTTACTACTGAACATATTCTGTTTATGTTTTTCCGTAGTAAAAGACAAATGTGTCTTCTGGTACCTCTTACATTACATTACATCTCATTTAGCTGACGCTTTTATCCAAAGCGACTTACAATAAGTGCATTCAACCATAGGGATACAAACTCAGAAGAGCAAGAAACATGAAACTGCAATTTCATCAAATAAGACAATTTACAATTGGCTATAGATAAGTGACATTATGAGTACAATTTAAGTGCTACAATGTGTTAGTCTTTTAGTCAAGGTAGAGTCTGAAGAGGTGTGTCTTTCAGAAAAATCCCAGAGCATAAGCAATAACAAACAGTTTAATTTCGCCTCAATTCAACCTTATGAGAGCAACCAAACAAGGAGACCCTGTGAGTCCATTACTCTTCACGATATTCTTGGAACCTCTGGCTATTGCAATCAGGGCAGAAACAGACAGGGATTAACAAGGAGAAGTGGAACACAAAATGTTTATGTACGCAGATGACATTTTATTGCTGACCAGAGACCCTTTGACATCAATTCTTAAGGTTTTTTCTACAATTGCGTCTTATCAAAAATATCAGGATATAAAATAAATTTGGAAATAAATCAGAATGCATGCCAATATCGAAACCATTATCTCTATTAATATGGACCCTTTAATACAAAAAACGAAGTTAAAGTAAGACAAATGGAAATTGATACATTTTGCCTAAAGGTGAAAAATGTATTTTATTAAGGTGGCGGTGGCTCCGCAATTGAACTACATTTCCATGATGTTTCCAGAAACTATCTCTGAAGGGATCTTTAAGGAATATAATCCTGTGTTTTTTATGGAATAACAAAAAACCTAGAATCAGTTTGAAAAAGCTATTGGCTTCAAGAGAATCAAGAGAAAGAGTCGAGAAGAGAAATATGGAATGATATAGTATAGAATTTGAAATGAAAAAGCTAGAATGGCACTGGGCAAATTCTGGACAACGTGGGTAAAAATGGATGACAATGAGATTAGGGAAAACGTACGGCAGGCAATCACATCGAATGTCGGCTGGGCTACAAGGGATGCAAGAAGGAAGTTCATCCATTATAAAAATGTACATTGGTATTATTTCCAACCTCATAAAAAGCATAAAATGGGATTACAGCAAGATAATAAATGTTAAAAATGTAATAAAAAAATTGGCACTTTTCTACATGCTATGTGGGAATGTTCTAGGGTGGCGCCTTTAGGGATAGCGGTTCTGCATTTCAGTATTTAGAAAGGTGGCTCAAGCGGCCTTTTCCAGTATCCCCAAGGCTTTTCTTATCAGGAGATAAATCGCTGATGCCACCAGGAATAACAAAAACGGAGATCAGGCTTTCATGTACGAGTTTCATTGTGGCAGCAAGGCTAATCCTGAGAAAATGGAAAAGCCTGCACACACGGTGGAGGAATTTGCACGTATAGGTAAAATCAGGCATGGGGGGATGATGGTATTACTAATTTTATTTATTTATTGATTATTATTGTTGGTTTGGTTGTTTTTTCATATTTTCTGCTAATTAAAAAAATATATTATGTAGGTATTGCGATTCTCTATTGATTTCTGATGGTTATTCTTTGTGTGGGGTAGAAAGATATACGGTATGTTTTAATATGAATAAAAGGATTTTTATTAGAAGTACACTTCTGCGGAGCAGACATTTGGAGGGAGACCAAACCTTTAGGGAGCTCACAAGGTCTGAATTTCTAAACATTAGACCACCCGGAAAACTGGGGAATGCAAAGCAGGGGGATTTAGATCCTAATGCAAAACCTTTGGTATATGTTCACACCAGGAATGTTTGCAAGGTTTTATTTACATTCTAGGCCTGGTTTTCTTTAGTACGGAGCAAGTCCTTTGAATTCAAAAAGGAAATTGCTCTCATAAAGAGCCATGGACGATGGTATGGGCCCCCTAAGTGCCCTGCGTAGTGACAATGGGTCTTAAGATTTAAGTCATTCTCCAAGTAGACGGTTATGATCCAGTAATGATGAATACTGTTAACAGCAGATACAAGTTTCCCACAATTTATTCTGGAAATCAATTGACTTCCTCCGTGGATCTTAATTGCAAACTCGGTTGCGATGGGATTGCTAACAATTTAGTTACGGTACAGTTGATCACTCACAGCCTAGATATGCTTCAAACTGCTTCGTAAGCTTGTGCCATTTGCTGATAAAAAAAACAGTTGTAAAATGCAGAAAACCATGGAATTTGGCAAAAACAGCTGCAATTTAGAACTATTCAAGGTTTAACGTACCACTACAAGCGTTTCTTTCCCAGCCACCAAGTCGAGTAAACAGAAATATACTTTCCAGCTGTTTTGGTTTAATTTACAGCGAAACAACTTATTTTCTCTGCTTTCTGTGTTGTTGTTTCTTTTTCATGTCAACTGTTAAAATTGTATTCATCCCCCAAATTAAATTGGATACTTTTTTTCTGGTAACAAAATATGTTGAAAGCGTAAACTAAACTAAAACTAAAGTAACTTCAAAAATTAAACATCAAAGACTCCTTATACCAAAGAAATACTACACTTTTTATTTGTTATAATTGCAAACTTTCCCAGCGTTTGAAGTTCAGTTTACAATGGGAAAACATAGACAAAAACTGTCTTTGCTGGGAAACCCCCCCCACTAGATGCTATATTATTAGCTGGCGTTTTATTGATGGCAGTGGAAAAATGCAAAATACCCCACGTGTGTTCAATTGGTTAGTAATAACAGCAAAGAGGGAATGCTGTGTGTTTTACAGTCTAAGAACTCACTACGGGGTAGTAGCCAGTGCTGATTCCTGTTGTTCAAACACCTGACAAACTCACAGAGTGAAATCCGTCAAATGTGGTTGGACCCTGCTAATAGACAATGTGCTTTGTGACATTATATTATTTAATAAGGCTTTTGGCTCTGACTTCTACTCTTCTATACTAAACTCCGTTGATTGTCAGATGCAATGTGCTGTGACCTGAAGACTCAATGAAAGGCTTTTTGTATTTTAACTGCTGATAATTATGTACCAGGGCTCCACATTGACCCCTGGCGCCAAATAATATAGAAATACATAAACATAGTTTTTAAACATATGCTGGGCCCATGTCTACTGCGCATCAGAGTGTTGTGGGGGGCTTTTTCCCAACATAACCAAGGATTTTAGGGGATCAGACTCGAAGTCAAGACCATATAACTGATTTGTGACAAGACAAAGACTTTTAGGAGTTTAAAGTAAATCAGAACCTAGACCAGAGTGTATCAAGACTGAGACAAAACTAAGACTTTGAGCAGTTGAGACCAAGGCGAGTGCTTGTCACAGAACTGCTGTGTGTTTTTGTGTGTCATTTAGTGAAATTCCTGCATTTGTAGTTTACTCGTCTTGAAATAAAATAGAGAGTTCTCTTTGTCTCATACCAAAGCAACCGCAAGCTAAAATGTGTTCTGCTTAGGAACAAATCCAAACCTACAAAAATTGAGACCAATCTGGTCCAACCAACCTGTCAGACCGATGTGTGTGTGCTTTTCCTCTGCTTTGGTTCAAAGGTTGCCTGTGATCACTCTTTTCATCTATTCCTTACAGCTGTCTTGCCCGTTTTGTTTTAAAGGTCACATTGCCCAGACACACATGCACTGATTTTTAACTGATATTAGTTTCCTATCCCTCTTGACCCCTCATGGCCCATGGTTACTCTTTCATCCCAGTAACTGGTCTGCTATTTTCTCCCTCTAACAGTTATAACAGCTTGACGGAGGTGGAGGGATCCGAATTCAAGTCTCTCCGGCAACTGGAAATGCTCATGTTGCATGGCAACGACATTAGCACAGTCCATCCTGGGGCGTTTTACAGCCTGAGATCACTACAGGTAGAGTTTGTGTGTATGGTCCAATGGTACAACAAGTTAAAATAATGTATTGTTGATGGTGTCTTTGATATGTATCTCACCCAACTGACTATTTGCATCTGTTAATTTATCTGTCTCAAAGTCATAGCCGGAGCAATTTGTGGCAAAGTATGTAAAAGCAATAAACAGCGTTGGTGCTGACCAACTCCACAGCGTATGTACCAAGAGAGCAAGATCAAATTCTCCCCTTTTAAGTCAATAATTAGTTACTTGTCAGTTGTTTGACTGAGAATGCAGTATTGTTGTGTCCAGATGGCTCCAATCAGAACCTAACTTTTCATTCTCAACAGGCGTAAAATACAAAAGAAATGGATTTGAAGCAATCCAAATTTGGTTTTGGTTGAGGCATTAACATATTTGAGGATAAAAAAGTCCCCAAAAAGATGGAATGATGACACAATGATAATAATAGTTGGGATCTCTATTGTAACGCAGACTGCTAATAGGGTCACCCGATGCACATTCAGTAACACAGTATGAAACGAAAGCAAGGATTAATCTATTCGACAGTTCATGCGGCCTAACCCACAGGGAAATTGCTTCTTTCTATGCAGTTCTGCACATATATTAGCCACTTTTAACAAATTCCTTACTGAGGCAACAGTGGTCCCCAACTTTTTTTACCTCGCGGACCGGTTTCATGTCAAAAAATATTTCGCGGACCAGTCAAGAAAGTCCGGTGGGGTGGTGTAGTAGTCGTCGTGGGCGGAACGACCGACGGGGGGGGGGGGGGGGGGAGGAATCCCGCGCTCTGTGTTACCGTGGTTGGCGAAACTGCCGTGCACAGTAAAAGGACAAGAAAAACGCCTGGTGACGCGTGGGGAAACTGTCAGAGGGACGAGCGCACATGATTAGGAGAAAATCCGGTCAATTTTCAAAATAAAACATTTTTCAGAAAAAGAATTTCTATAAGCTTTCTGTGGTGCGGCCCGGTACCAAACCGGTGGTTGGGGACCGCTGATCTAGAACACTACTAGCTAAGACAAACCGGGTGTTGACAATCAGTCAAACATGAAAAAGGCTCATAATAAGCATATCAAACTTGTCTCTTGTGTTTATATTGTGTTAATTAACAAATGTCAGTATAACACTCACTATTTTTTTCACAGATCTTGAAGTTGAGTTACAACAAGCTGAAATCAGTAAACCCGGGTCTCTTTGAAGGCCTTATTGGTTTGATCCGCCTTCATCTGGACCACAACCTCATTGACTTTATAGAGCCGTACTCCTTCTCTGGCCTAAGCTCCTTAAAACTCCTGCAGCTGGAGGGTAACCTTCTCAAAGAGATCCACCCACATACCTTCATAACAGTGTCACTTCTCGGAAGCTTTTGGACATCAGGACTCAAGTAAGAAATACAAAGGCGGTAGATATTTCTCTTAATTTGTCATTTTCAAAACTCATACAAATAGAAAATCTATTTTTACATATATAATGATGATAGTTTATTAAATTAATGACTTTACACGTGTCCTCCATTTAAAAGAAGCATATTCCCCAAATTGCTTCCAGGTATAAAATTGCTAAACCTGCACCGCATACCTTATAGGTACTACAATACATCTGTTTCCTTCCCTTCACATTGCATGCAAGAATAGACATTATCCTCCTATCACCCTGCAGACCAATAAGTGAATAAAATGATTTTTTTTTTGTTTTAGACATTTACACCTGTCAGACAATCTGTTAGAGCAGCTTCCTGCCGCAATGCTGAAGACAGCTCCCCGGCTTGAGCTCCTATCTCTACACGGTAATCCCTGGACCTGTGACTGTCAGCTCCACTGGTTGATAGAATGGAGCTCCACCCATGAAGGTATAGGAAAGCATTTACGAATACTCAAATCTTGTCTTCTAACATTACATTACATGTCATTTAGCTGACGCTTTTATCCAAAGCGACTTACAATAAGTGCATTCAACCATAAGGATACAAACTCAGAAGAACAAGAAAGTGCAATTTCATCAAATAAGCCAATTTACAATTTGCTATAGATGAGTGGCGTTATAAGTACAATTTAAGTGCTACAATTTGTTAGTCTTTTAGTCAAGGTAGAGTCTGAAGAGGTGTGTCTTTAGTTTGCGGCGAAAGATGTGATGGCTCTCTGCGGTCCTGGTGTCTTCAGAGACTTCTAGTCGAGTGTTTTGCTCTGAGTGAGGGAGGGACGAGCAGTTTTGCAGATGCAGAGCAGAGAGTGCGGGTTAGACCATGGTTATAGGTTAGAGGTTAGAGTAGGGTTTGACCATGTCCTGGATGTAAGCTGGACCCGATCCATTCACAGCATAGTTCGTGAGCACCAATGTTTTGAACTGGATGCAGGCAGCCACCGGTAGTGGAGAGAGCGGAGGAGTGGAGTAGTGTGGGATACATTAGAAAATGACTTTTTTCTTTGCTTCTGCGTTGCCAAAAAGTTCCATCTTAAAGCGGATGGCAAACCAAGGAATGACTTTTGGTAATAGTTCAAAGAGGAACTGAACACAATTAATTACACATTAAAGCTGTTAAATCTGTTATTTTGACTACCTGGGGTCAACTTCCAGCAGAAAATCGTAAGTTCTACACTTTATAACCTTATCAGTTTTATAAATTCACTATATATTCATTTTCTTTAGGTTAAGCTACACCAACCCCTGAGAAAGATATCTTAGCTTGTTATCAAACCGTGTGTCTCTATCGACCTGGCAAATGTGAGTCCCATATTCACTCTCTTTTAACTCATGGTGTCTACCAACTCACAAGGTAAATGTCTAATGTCTATTGATGCCAACTCAAAACGATACGGAAAGTTAACCAGAACAGCTAAAATTTGCCATAAAACTCAATACAGTTAACAGGGAGTTGCTGCCCCTTAATCAGTATAATTAAGAGTTACAGTATTTGTTACAGTATGTGTTTTGTCTCATTTGTCACTGCTTTGTTACATTTTTGTGAATAGCCTTTAACCAGTCCCACATGGTAGCTGTTGATAGGAACAGTACAGTTGATAATATATCAGCTTTTATGGCCTGCTTCATCGAAAAATAGGGTTCTGCGACTACCAGTCGTTTAAACAAGTTTAATAGTGGATGCGTGAAACTCAAACTAATCAAATTATATCCGCATCTGCAAGCCAGATTTCTCTGGCTTTGGAAAAAAGATGAAAAAGATGGACTTTTTACTATCTCTTAATTGATTCCTTATTTTTTTTTGCCTTGCCCGATCTTTAAGGACTGTTGTCTCTTTCCTATCAAATTTGCCTTTTCTTTCCTTCCAATTCCTTATATTAATTCCATTGTGATTTATAGTCTTGTATTTTCTTGTTTCCCCATCTTTCTTCCAGGTGTTATAAAATGCAAGAAGGAACGTGGCTCAAGTGACACTTGCCCCCAGTGTTCCTCTCCTCAACCCCTGAATGAGACCCTTTTGCTAGGACTGACTCCAGGTCAGCTTACCTGTGAGCGGCCAGTTCTTCGCTCGGCCCTCAAACAATGGGACAATCCTGTGTGGGCGGCATCTGAATCGGAGCCTGACCTTCCATACACACGTGACTTTGAGAAGCCTTTGGGCCATTTGACCATCGTTCTCTCTGACAGCCATGGAAACAATGCTCATGTGGCGTGTGATGTGCGACATCCTGGAGACAGTTCACCCATCACTTGGACAGTAAATCCGCAGTCACCTGGCGAGTTGTCCGTCAATGTATCTCTAGTGACTGTCCTTGAGTGTGAAATTGATCGGGAGACATTGCAAAATCTATGGCAACTGGTTGCATATTACTATGAAACCCCTGCTATTTTGGAGAGAGGTGGGCTAAAGGGAAATGCAAGCAGAGTAACCTATCAATATGTCCAAGCCGTGAATGACAATTCCCCATATTTCACAGATTTAAAAGGGTACTTGTTAGCAGAACCCTCATGGCTGCTTCAACCCAGAGTCACTTTGAGGCTCAACAGACAGCAGACAACAACCAAGAAACTGGTGATGGATTTCACTACTGTAATTACTAAGCACATCAACAGCGATAGAGGATCGGAAGATGCCCTTGAGATGTCCTGGGCTCTAATTCGCAGAGGGACAGCAGGAAGGGTTCAGACTGCGCTCGAAGGATCAAAGGTCCATTTAGAGTGCATTGTTGTCACTTCAGATCCAGAGTTGAGGGTGGAGTGGATGCTTACAGATTTGTCCATTGTCAAAGACGCAACTGACAAAATTGAAATTTCTGAAAGAGGAGAACTTGTGATTTTGAATGCTACATTGTCAGACTCAGGCCTTTACCATTGTATGGTGCGGACCAAGGCCGGTGTGGACTTAATACCTCTGCGGCTCACCATCAAAGAACTGTCACTCACCCCAACAGCTTTAAATGGTCAGAAAATTGTAGTTGAAAAGGGACAATCTTTTTTTATCCCATGTGAGGTGACCTCCGTTAAGCCAAGTCAAACTATGTGGTACCTGCCCAAAAACAAAATTCTTCTTCCAACGCAACAGACAAGACGGACAGAAGTGATGGAAAATGGGACTTTGGTGGTAAGGAGATTGACACAGGAAGATGCAGGGGAATACACCTGCCTGGCCTCAAATCTATATGGAGTTGACATGATATCACACCTGGTTGAAGTTACAGAAAGAGAAAACTCCCCTGATAGAGCAAAAGTACAGACTTCAAAAAAACAGATTTTGCCATTTGCTTCAGAGGAAGGAGAGGGTTCGGGGGGAGATTATCAGGAAATTATACGTTCTTTTGCTACACAGATCCCTAAGGCAGGAACTCCACAAAGGAATCATAACAGGGTTTCTAAGACGTCAAGGATTAAAGATTCAAAGAGAAAACCCAATAAATCTGTGAAAGAATTAGATCCAAATCGGTGGGCAGACATTTTGGCTAAAGCTAATGCTAGACCAAGTGTTACTTTGCCCCCAGAGCAGTCCCTTCCAGAGCCCAGCACAGAAACTATCCAAACAAGTACTTCCAAACCGATAACAACAACCGCTACAGCAATTTCCATGGATGCTAACAACTTACCCCCTACTGCCACCCCTACTGATACCAGGGAGGAACCAAATAGTTTTCCCACCAACACAAAATCTAAGACTGAAGCTTATTCTACAGAGAATAAAATGGGTGACTCAGAGCGATCTGAAAGTCTGCCAGAGGTTCTGCCTCAACTTCTGCCTCCCAGAAGTACAGAACCAAGCCCCCACCGTGTTGGTGGGATGGCAGACACTGTAAAAGCAGTCACAGACCCTCTTGCTGTTGGAAATCGTCTGACAGTAGATCAGTCAGCAAGTAAGCCGTCTATAGAGGGTAAAAGGGAGGACATACTTGTTCCAGGTCAGACAAACAGAAGAAGGCCTCCTTACAGGCGTAGAAAACCCAAAATGAAAACATTCCGTCCACACGGACATCCCTTATATCATTCATCAAACAATCACCAAACAACCGTTCAACCAACAACCATCACCCCAACAACACCAACCACTACTACTACTACAACTACTACATCTACAACAACAACACCAACAACAACAGCAATACTTGTTCCAACCACAATGAAGAACCAAGACATCTTATCTGCTGAGTATGTGAAAGAGGAAGATAAAGGTGAATACTATGAAGAATATGATATCAAGGATAGTGATGGAGATTTGAAGAGTGAAACCCCTCATGCCACAGATATTGAGAGCAAGACTGCCACATCACCAGCTAGAAAAAAAGATCTCGGTAGCTCTCCGCTTAATCCAAAAACAATTGTCAGGTCAAAGCTTGATAGGCCTCCACATCCAAATGAAAGACCTGTTGAAGAGAGGGAGACAGACACAATGAAGCTTACGGAATCTGAGAGCATGAAGACTATAATTGAAACTGATAAAAAGGGCAGGGACAATGAAAATCTTGGAGAGAGTGGAATGGAGGTAATACGAGCAATGGAAAGGGAAGAAAACATCAACATCAACACCAAAGGCAGATTGAAAGGCATAGAAAAATATGATAAGGATCAGGTTACAGAGGATCACATCCAGTTAACCACAACAATTAGACCAAAATCTAACACACAACCTTCACCAGAAGAAAATATACCCATCCATGCAAGAACTACATCCACTTCAAATTCAGCAAGAAGTAGAGAAAAAGAACTCAAACAGAGAGAGGATAAAGATGCCAACAAGCCAAAAGTGAAGACTGAGATCCACAGTTTCCAAGTCGTGGAGCCAGTTCACCCCTGGCTCCATCAGCTCAAACAGGGAGTTGGACAAACCCCTGCTTCCAGGACAAACCAAGACAGAAACACAGCAAAGCAAGGCAAAGTGAACCCGGGTGGACATTCCCAGCCTCCCAGAGTCCCCCCCACCTCCCGCTGGCCTTTACACCATCCTTACTACCCACTCTACCCTGGCCAAAGTTCAATTCCTCATACAAGGCATGGTAAGAAAGTTGTGGTGTAAAAATACACTTTTGAAATGATGGCCAAAGGTGACAGGTTGAACTAGCTAGTAAATAAAGAACAAAATATGTATAACATTATCTTTGATTGGTATTATATTATGACGAATCTCTCTAATACAGTTTGGAGTGCATATATGTTTATTTGACAGAATTATTGTTCTTTAGGTCCTGGCACCCACCCTGCACCTACGCACCAACCCTGGGCTGTCCCCCATCCCTGGGCTCAAAACCTGGTTGTCACAAACCGACCAGAAGTTGTCGCAGAAACTGTGAAGCCCGCACCTACGCTCTCTGGAAAAACACTCTCCAATCACCATCCGTCACAGCACCAACATCAAAATCACCATGTTGATGGCAGGACCCAAACCAGAGACCAACTTTTTCTATCAAGGTTGAGGAACAGATACAGACAGGTAGGATAAATCGTTGTTTTAGTTTTTATGCGGCCAATCTTATTGTGCATCTTAATGTTCACAAAGTGAGTAAGCAAAATAGTGCTTTGATAACACACCCCTTAAACCCAGACTGGCCAATCTTACCATAGCTCCAGGCAGCTCTAACCAGTTTCTGACAACTAACCCACTGTTCACCACAGGATCACTTTTATCGCAATTATAATCGCAATTATTTTTACCATTTTGAGGCAGTTCTTTCATGTCAAGCTAGTCATAGTCAAATGTATCTAATGGAGATACTTGTTACCCAGAGAGTTTGGAAGGCAATACATATTTCCCAAACATAACTATTCCACGTAAAAACCTGCAGAGCTAACCAAGGCAGAGTATGTTAGCCCATGATTAACCAGAGTCAGCACTGCTATGCTAGCTGCTGAAGGTATACTGAATGTATACACAGCGCTTTTGCTTTTTAATTATTGTTATAGTGAATTACGTCCTACCCGGCATTACAGGAAAAGGGTTGTTAATTCCTACGTTTTCTCCTTCGAATGCCAGAATGCAGACTTCCTTATGTGTTGAACTTGTTTCACTGCTGAATCAGTTTGAAATCCTGGATATACCCTGAAAACAAATGCAAAGCCTCGTGTCTAATATTTCCTTAGTTTTGTGTCCCTTAATTAATTCATATTTTGGCAGGGATTGCAATTAGGGACATTGTGGGCTGCATGGTAACTCTGAGAGCTGAACGGAGCAGCTGTAGGGGGCCAGTATGAGTAAAGGGTCAATTACTAATTTCAATTTTATTTAATTTGATTCACTTCATTTTGTACTGCCCAAAATCACAAATTACAAATTTGCCGCAGAGGGCTTTACAGTCTCCTCTGTCCCAAAACCCTCACATCAGCGCAGGAAAAACTCCACCTAAAAATTAAAAACCCGGGATTTTTGATGACGAAAATGATGAACCAGCTCTCAGAGATGGGATTTATTTTCAGGTACATGGGTTAGTATTATAATTATTGATTACTTTGATTTTTACAGGCTCAGCTCGAACGCATCGCTCAGCTAGGGAGGATTGTGACACCTAAACCTCGCATTGGCTACCACAATCCTCCATCTCCACATCAACCCTATATCCGGAAGCAATCAGCACCCACTTCTTCTTACACCCACAAGCCGCAATCTTTGAGGCCTGCTAAACCTTCATCATTATCATTTTCTGGGCTAATTTCAACCCCTCGTCCTACCCAGCCCACCTCTGGGGTGCTTTATGGCGGTCGGTGGCCTGTTGGAGGTAAGGGCCCATTTGAAAGGATACAAGCAATGTATTTAGAATTGTGCAATATATTTTTATACAGTGATAATGAAATACTTCTTTGTAGCTGGACAAATTAGCTCTCGGTGGCCCACAGCTGTGCCTCCTTTCCCATGGGTGTTGGGAGCTGGAAGTGGTGGGCTCAAGCCCCGTATTACCACTGTGACCACCGCTAGCGTGTCAGTACTGGCGGAGAGTGATGTGTTCCTGCACTGCAAAGCAACAGGGAATTCAGAACCCAGCATTGCATGGACCAAAGTCTCCACAGGTGACAAAAGAGGGAGAGAAAAAACAAGCTGAAATTCAAATGAAATTGTTAATCTTGGGTTTGCCTGCCGTGTTGTCTATGTAGATACTATCACTTTGTACATTCAGAGAGAGAGACATTTTCAAATGAGGAAAAATCATGACAATCATCATCCAGAGTTCAAACCTCTAAGTATCAGTTTCTTTGTTTCCCCCCCCACTCCCCCTCAGGTGCCACCATACCTGCCAACAGCAAGCATGGCCCCCGTTTTGAAGTCTTAAAGAATGGAACTTTTGTTATTAGAAGCATCCAGCTCCAGGATAGAGGCCAGTACCTCTGCACGGCCCAGAACAGCTTTGGATCAGATCGCATGGTCATCACCTTAGCTGTGCAGACTGAGGCTCCAAAGATCCATCCGCTTAAGTCCACAGAGATAGCCGTCTACTTGGGGAAAAGTATGACTCTAGACTGCCTTGCTTCGGGTAAACCACCTGCCCAAATTTCCTGGATTCTTCCAGACAGGACGTTTGTGCGGGAAGTCGGGATTGTTCACACTCCCCTTTCTCAAATGTCTCTGCTTCAAAATGGAACATTGCAAATTCACTCTCTCAATTTCTCCAGCAAAGGGGACTATAAATGTATCGCAAGCAATGCAGCAGGTGCTGATACCGTCACTTATCATCTCCACGTGGCCGCTCTGCCGCCAAGCATCAGTGAACCAGCAATGGATACCATGATCATTCAGCCAGGTATAGTATAGAACTTTAACATTCCTAAACTTCCCAATACAGAATGTTTTTCTCATGGTCTCGCCGGTAATGAAAGACAATACATAATTTGTCAATCATTTCAAACTAAACTGGAAAATAATCCCATTCAACCAGGCAGGAGTGTGTATGTTCACTGCTCTGTGAAGGGCGAACCGGTGCCTGCTCTGAAATGGACGCTCCCGGGGGGTGGCCATGTAAAACCGTCACAGTTTCTTGGTCGCAGGCTGTTTGTCTTCCCCAATGGGACGCTGTATGTAAACAATATTATACCAGCTGATACAGGGAGGTGAGATGTGTATTGATATAACTCATGATTTTCTCTTTCTGGTCAAATCTTTTGTTAAACATTTATACTGTTTCATAAGATATGGTTTCTGGTTTTAGTAGACTTTCCTAGCAATCGGAATGTATTTTTAATCATCTAATCCCTTCAAACGAGCTTCTTAATCAAGGTCTGAATTCCCTCTAAAGCTTTATGGGTAAGGGTTATCATAATGCTTTGATTATTGACCAAATAGGATCCCCATCAGCCTCACAAAGATGCATTTGTAATTAGGACTTACCATATGTAATTTATTTTTATTTGACTTTCCTTTCATTGCATTGTAAGTCAAGGTTGTGTAGCACAGTGTTACTGCCCCACATAATAGAAATGTATAATTCAACTCAAATTTTTTAGGTCATTTTGAAAATTCGACCATAGCTCTGAGCTCACCAGGCTGCTGTCAATCTTCCCACAGGTATGAGTGTTTGGCCACTAATGCTGTAGGCATGGCCAAAAGATCTGTCCAGCTGGAGCTGAGCGCAGATACCCCCTCTTTCTCCCGCCAGCCTCCATTTCCTCTTTCCATCCCTTCAACTCAACGCCATGGGGTGCCATCGCAACAGCACTCTGTCTCAGCTATGTACGGTTCTGCTGTGTACCTCCACTGTCCTGAGTCTACTGGATCCACAATAGGGACCATCTGGCAGCTTCCCTCCAAGACCATCATGGATCATCGATACAGGTTACATACCTTTGTACACATATAAATCTTCAAAATACTGTTATAAAAATAATATTTATGTTTTCATTGAAATTTGTTCTTCTGTCTGCCTGCAGTCCGGAGAGACCAATTAAAGTGTTCCGGAATGGGACTCTGAGGATACTTCAGCTAACTGAGCTAGATGGTGGAAATTATCTGTGTGTCTTTCAGAGACCCAATGGGGAGGACATGGAGCTCTTCCAAGTATGAACAGAGCAGGCTTTAGCCAGCCTTCTATTAGTGTTTGGTTAATTTCCTTCTTTGTCATTAAGTATCCCTTCTTTGTTAATGCATGTCAAAGTCAAGCTAAAGATGTCTAACATGTCAAGAATCATGTCCTTCCTCAATTAAGAGAATGCTTTTAATTTGTGTGGGCAAAATCTGTAAAAGTGGGTCATTAAATGATCAATACTCTGTATTTCCCAAGCTTTCACTGATGTATTTTATCTTTTTTATTCATATATTCACTTCATCAGGTGGATGTGTTAATGACCCCTCCTAGAATTGAACAAGTGAGGACTGCACAAACCAAGGTCACCTTTGGAGAAAATTTCCAGGTATTTTTGTGAGCTAGTGCAAATTTTAACCAACAGAGGATGGCCGTTGTTGATTTTAGATTTTTAAGATGTTTACAAATTTGATCCTACAATAAGATATGCGTCTCATATTCCAAAGTTACATACGTGATCCATAGAAACCTGTGAGGCAGGAAAGCACAACGACTCGGGAAAGAGGCAAAGTTAATCATGTGTATTAATGAGACACAAATGCATGAAGACAGAGAGAGTGAAGAGGAGAAATGATCTTAAGAAGTGCCCCACAATTCCAGGACTGCAGCGCTGACTATAAGTTTCTTTAATTCAAGACAAAATTCAATGACTTGACAAAATGAGAAAAAATATATTTTTTAAACTTTTCAGCAAAGGTAAAATACATTTCCCAAACTTTATAGACTGTACAGTCTGAAAGTTTCTGCGATATTATTTGATAACATCGGCCAAAGGAAGCATATATTTATAAGGTAAATAAAATCGGCCCAAGCACAGAACTCTGTGGGACTCAGTGACCAACATTGGTGGTCATTGAGGATTTACCATTTACAAACACTAACTGGGATTGATCCCATAAATGCAACTTAAATCACCAGAATGCGGTTCCTTTTATATAAATCAAATGTTTCATGGACGGTGGTACATGTCCTATCAACAGAGACAGATTTATAATGTCCACTAAAGACCTGCTAACTAAAGGAAAAACTTCCTTAAGCAGCCTAGTCGGACTCAAGAGACAGGTAGAAGATTTAGACACAGAAATTGTAGAAGTCAGATGATCAACACTGGTTGAAGGCAGGAGACCATACATTTTCTCTCTAGTTAAAATCGTATCATTAAAGAAGTTCAGGAAGATGTTACTACTGAGGTCCAAAGGAATACATGGCTTGACAGAGATGTGACTCTCTGTCAGTCTGGCTACAGTGCTGAAGAGAAACCTGGGGTTGTTTTTATTTTTCTCTATTAACGATGAGTAATAAGATGCTCTTGCAGTTCTATCCCGATACCATACAGCAGATCCAGGTCAACGGTGTGATTAAAACAATAATTAGGTTTCTGTACACTCTGAAATAAACCATTTCAAATCTAACAACAAGAGAAACGGAGTACCAAGGCCGTCGCTATTGACATCCACATGAATATTAAAATCACCCACTATAATTACTTTGTCCGTTTTAAGGACCAAACTCTGAAAATTCAGATAGAATTTCTGAATAAGCACCTGAGGCCCTGTACACTACAACAAAGAGAACCTGCTGTATTGTTTTCCAGACTGGATGCAAGGAGAACCAGGCTTATGTGTTATAATCCAGTTTAGGTTTAAGGTATATTAAAAGGCTATAGTCAATATTAGCTGCTACTCCACCTCAATGTGAGCATTAACATGACTTGGTGTCAGGGATGCGGGGAGGCAGGACTCAAATGCAGAGTTTTTGAAACACAAAAAGACTTTAATAGTCAAAAATACCAAAAAAGCAAGAAGGCCAGGGGGCAAAAACACACACAGGAACCAGGGCAAAAAAGGCAGGCAGGAACTCGGAACATCCGGGACAATAGACAATGACGCGACAAGTGACAAGAGACACACACAGCTTAAATACACTAGGGAGGTGCAGGTGATTGGACACAGGTGGAAACAATCTGACAATCACAGGGGACGACAGGACAAGGCAGGAAGTGAAGTTACCCAGGAAGACAAGAATCAGAAACTACAAAATAAGACAGAAAATAAAACCCCACCGTGACACTTGGTGGGGTCGCTTCATTTAAGCTGACATATTCTCCATTTGACAGCCACGTTTCAGTAAGACAAAATAGATCAAAATGGTGATCTGATATTATTTAATTGACTAAATCAGCTTTAGTTGATATAAATTTAATTATAATATTTAAGAGTCCACCTTTATTTCTCCTATTTTGTTGGACTGTTGCATTATTGGTTTTAACTTTGATTAAGTTATTTAGGTAAACTCCTTGGTTGTTTACCTTTGATACAAATAACTTTAGTGGCCGTGGGGCGGACACGGTATAGGGTTAATAATTGTTTAGGTCCACAACTCTAAACCAATTTAAATAATAGAATAAGCACCGCTAACCAATGAGATCTTTAGGTAGAAATTAGGCTAGAATAATCCTTACATTCAAATTCATACACTCATTTTTCTTTGTTTCCCTTTTCAGGTGGACTGTGTTGCAACAGGCCTTCCTGACCCAGAAGTTTCTTGGAGTCTCCCAGATGGAACTTTAATCAACAATGCCCTCCAATCAGATGACAGTGGCCTTCGCAACCGCCGTTATGTTATTTTTGGCAACGGGACTTTACTTCTACAGCAAATGGGCAAAAGAGACGAGGGGGACTACACTTGTTTTGCCAAAAACAAACTTGGCAAGGATGAAAAAAAAGTGAGTGTCAAAGTGGGGCCGAACGCTCCAAAAATTAACCCAAAATCACCAGCACTGGTTACGGTTAAGTTAGGAGAATCAGCTCAGTTGAGTTGTCAAGCAACAGGTGACCCTGTACCAAAGATCATCTGGATCTCACCCAGGAATGATGTGATATCTTTCTCATCAGAAAAATTTCAGGTAATGGATGATGGGATGTTAGTGGTGAAAAAGGTCATACTGGCCGACGAAGGAAAATATGCATGTGTGGCACAGAATTCTGCTGGTGATGATGTCAAAAACATGAAACTAGAAGCTGAACTCCAGGAACCTTTTATTAATGGCTTGAAAGGGAGGAGTACCACAAAGGCTTTAGCTGTTTCTTATCAGACAACGCTTCTGCATTGCACAGTGGAAGGGAAACCCAAACCAAGAGTCTCATGGGTCACTCCTTATGGACATTCGCTCCCATCACTTTACCAGGGTGGTCGCTTCGAAGTCCACCGGAATGGGAGCTTGGAGCTGAGAGGAGTGAGGAAAACCGATGAAGGGAGGTACATGTGTCTGGCCCAAAACAATCTGGGTGAAGCCTCTCTTTTGGTTGAATTAGATGTTTCATCTATAGCCGAGAAACCAAGTTTTGCTGTTCCCAATATTGAAATCTTACCAATAAAGCAAGATGTTGGGGAATTGTTTCTGGAGTGCTCAGCTCGTGGCAAGCCAAACCCAGAGTTTGCATGGGTTCTACCCGATGGGGCAATGTTAACGCCTGGCGTTAGACTCCAACGCTTCACACATCATCTGGGTAATGGCACTCTAAGGATTTCTCGACCAGTTGCAAGTGATAAGGGAGTGTACCGGTGCCTGGCAAAAAATGTGGCAGGACAAGCAGAGAAACGTTATGCGCTGGAGTCGGGCAGGAAGCCAGTGATCAGAGGATCTACAGGTATGTTTTTTCATCTCAAAATAATAATACAGAAATCACCTTAGTTTGGTCAAGTTAAGGATTTGTGTTTTCCCCTTGGTTTGGTTTGTTCAACAAGGAAAAAAATGAAAATGATCCAAAGTGCATCACTAAAAGTGAAAGCATTTAGTCACCTGATTGATTCAACGTATTAGGCGGGAGCCAAAGACTTACGGATAAAATATACGGATAGTATCTTTCACCCAGAAGTTCACCCTTGTCACAGTTTTCCATCTTGGCAGACAAAATTTGTTAAAAATATTCCATGAAACCTTTATATAATTAAAACAGACATAAATATGAATCCCCAAATATTTAACCATTGGGGTCTATAGGAACTGACCTTTGTAGCGAGCCTCAAGAAGTCATTTGAACTGCATTTTTTTTTAGCACATTCACGTTGGCTTCCTTTCTTAGCAAGTCCCGAAGAGAGTCTTTCTTTCCAGATTCCAGAACAACTCCCAATTTTCTTTTAATGGGTTTTGTGCCCAATCCCAATTAGCACCCTTACACACTCACAGACTTTGAGGCTTGCGCCGGCTAGCTCCTTGAGGTAGGGCTGTCCCGTTGTTTAATCGCTGAGTGTTTGTGGGCTGTCAGGAAGACATTTTGAGATATTTATGAACACTTTCCTCCCTACCCGTGAGCCCAAGAGAATTACCCACAAGTCATTTTAATGTGACGTCAAAAAAGTGAAAGCATAGAGGAGGTGTGAAAAAAGGTAAATAAAGAGGATGGCACAAGTGTGTTATAGGTGTGCACACTGTCATAATAAAATGAATACATAAAAACATTTAAGTTTGAAGATGGAGAAAAAAAAGACAGGAAATCACACAATATTTATTAACTTATTCATGAAATATAACATTTTGTCATCGAAGCAATTTTGGAGAAAAAAAACAAACGAGATTTAAAATTCGGCTCTCATCTCATAAGGAAAAGCCTGAAAGACATTTAAATCAGAGCATTAAAAGTATTAAATAAATACCCTCAATTGTAAATCTTTTTTTTTTAAGTTGTCTGGTTGACGTGACATGTGAAAACAAAGTGCGGTCCCATTCATATTTATACCATTTAAAGCCCTCACAGACTCACACTCAGTCCAGTCCCTCAGGGTTCAGGGCTTGCGATTTAGGGGGTGTTAGGATTTGGCCTTGGTGTGGTGTTTTGGTCAGTAGTATGATTTGTTTGTTCAGATCTGCCAAAGGGGAAAACAAATCAAAGTAAAAAATCAAAGTGATCAATCAAAGTGATGGGAAATTTGACCAGAGTTCTCAGGTATGTGAGATTACTGCAGGATATTGACTTACTGTTGTAACTTTGCTTTTCCAGGTGGTATGAAGATCACGTACGGCCTTAATCTCAACTTGCCCTGCGCGGTGGACAGCTGGCCGCAGGCATCAATCATATGGACACTACCAAATGGTCTTGTTTTGGACAAACCTCAATCCATTGGCCGAGTATTTCTATTTCCAAATGGGACCCTGCAACTCAGGCAGGTTGCCACTTTTGACAAGGGAACATACATCTGTAAAGCCTCCAACTCTTTTGGCTCTACAACTCTATCATACCCAGTTGCAGTGATGGTTTTTCCACCACAAATAACTAATACGCTGACCTCAATTACAAGGGCCAACCGGGGATCACCAGTGAAATTAAATTGTGTTGCAACTGGTATTCCCAAGCCGGATATTTCATGGACGTTGCCTGGACGCACAACGCTGGTTCCACATAACCGGTTCACGGTGGAGGGGGGGATTCACATGACAGAAGAGGGCAGTCTGGTCATACAGAACACAATGCTAATGAACTCTGGCATTTACAAATGCAATGCTAAAAACACACTCGGCACAGACTTTAAATCTACTTACCTACAAGTAGTCTGATTGACAATTACAGTTGCTGTTTTGGGAAAATGTCACAGTAGAATTAGGTACGAATGAGGACATCTTTATCAGGATTTCAATATTTTGCTTAATCGATACTCTGGAGAGAGACCTACAGGCTGACTGGAAGCTTGGCTTGAGACAGCTTACAAAGCAGGTTCCACTAAAATAACATTGCAAATGTTTCAAATAATATTCACCTTTATGATTTCTATGGTGGTGGCGGTTTATGGTGCGAATCTGGCTGAAGCCAAATAATTATGCATTTTAGACCTTGAAGTGTATTTTAAATTTTCAAAAAGCTGTATTAACTCACTGCTTAAAGGTTTGCCTTGTGGCTTTACCCTGTAGACCCCTTTCACATTCCCAAAACCACATTATCATTTCTGAAGTTTTACCTCACAGTACAATTTTACGATGACAATGCTTGTTGTGCAAATAACCAACTTACGATTCTTGATATATCTGAATATAATTTTGACCTCTTATACAATTATAAATTTGAGTCTGCTAGTAGAGTTTAAATTGTGTTTTTGCAGCTGTAAAATATGGGTAAATTGCTTAAATTGCTCACATAACAAAATGGAAGAATAAACTTATTATTTATCAACAAGCAGTGATGAGTATCCATCCATCCATCCATCCATCCATCGTCAAACCGCTTATCCTGCACACAGGGTCGCGGGGGGGCTGGAGTCTATCCCAGCCAACTTCGGGCGAAAGACAGGGTACACCCTGGACTGGTCGCCAGCCAATCGCAGGGCAGTGCAGTGATGAGTAGAGTAATAGAATTCTTGAACATGGGTATATCATCAGCCATTCTACTTATGTGGTGAAGTGGCCAATTTAATTAACTCTTTTCTATAAGGACACAAATGCCCCGGACCCTATTGCTGCTCTATAATGTGTATCAGAATATGGCTTACTGTATGTATCAGTTTCATATATTCATGTTCATAATGGTGGGAGAGTAATAACTCATAATATTTTAATTATGAACTTATTGAGCAACACAAAATCACAACAAAGTGGAACTTCACAAAAAGTTAAATAATATATAAAAAATAAAACATACAGGTATTTATTGTTTTCAGTCAGTCGTGTTATTTTTACTATTTCTATTTTATACTATTTTATTGTATTAAATAAAATTATTGAGTATTTCCATATGTACATCAAACGTTTTAATTACAAATTCATGCTAAAATGAAGTCATTCCTATGGAATTTCTAGACGAGGGGATTCGGTTAGAGGGACCAATTATTCACACCATTAACAAATGGAGCATAGACAGTGGTTGCATTTGAGAGAATGGAGAACACAAAATGGTGGGAGACGTTAAACTAAAAAACAAATACATATATATAATGTATAATGTATAAATATATTATATATTTATTTATCAAACAGACAGACCCCAAAAACTATAATGACTGATTTTCATTGTTGCCATCTACTTGGATCTAACACACAAATTGTAAAAGAAAAAAGGAAAGCGTGAAACCACAACATAATTTTGGAAATGTGTGTGAGTGTGTATGTAAATGGTTGCTATTTTTCACTGTTGGTTTGCGTTCGCTAGAATGTGAATGTCCCACGGAGAATCGCTCACAGACAAACCGGTCTTTGACTGAGGAAGAAGGGAGCTTTGTAAGACACAAGCATTGGAACGATTCAATACAGCCCGAGTGTGTGTGTGCGTGTGTAAGAGAAAAAGAGGTTATGTGTGTCTCTCTGAGGGACCGTGTGTATGTCTACGTGGAAGAGATTGAGTCTGTGTGAAGGATTGTTCCAAACAGTGAGTGTGGGTGTGAGAGAGACTGTTACTTAAAGAGGGATAACAGTGCAAGTGTTTGGTATTTCGGTCCACGTTTCGGTCTGATATCAGCAGAAATCTGCATTCTGTATGTGTACGTGTGTGTGTGTGTGTGTGTGTGTGTGTGTGTGTGTGTGTGTGTGTGTGTGTGTGTGATTTGTGTCGTTATTTTGCCGATGTTGGCGAAATGGATGCTAGGCAGCTGTTAAACGACGCAGAACTTCGCAGAGCTCCATTTCACACGGTGAGTGACACTAAATTTGTTTTGTTCCTGTGTTTTGTTTGTCATCTACAAATTTGGCACCACTAACGAGTCTGATTATTACAGTGATCTGCTTTTTACTTTCTAATATGCCATTTAGATGCATGTGAGCATGGGTGGTATAGAAATGTCCGGAGGTTGTTCAAACATGTTCAATCTGAAATACCACAGCAAAATTTGGTGCAGATACTCAAGGTCCCCAGAGGGTAAATTGTAATAGGGCTGGAGATCATGAGTTTGACCATTTTTATCCTAGGGTCTAGAACTATGGGTTGCAGTGACGTTTGGTGACATTCATGTTCTACCGCGGTTATCAGTCCTGTGGAGTTCTGCAGGAATGATGTTTTTTGTTGGCATCATTGTGGTTTCTTTGACAAAAAGCCAATGAGATTTCTCCATTGAATTTTGAGTTGTTACAGAAAACATGCTCTTTGGGAAAAACATGTTTATGATATGTAAAAGTTTTGTTCGGTAAGATCATCTTTGACAAGTGAAGGGCAATTATATGATCTTCCAAGCGTACAGTAAATGCAACAGGAAGAACTTAAAAGCTAATGTTATGGTAAACCAACTACCACAATTACATGGGCATGTACAACGAGGATGTAACGCTGATGTTTTGATAGTTTCATTTAGCCACTTGATAAGAACTGCCATTGTTAAGACACAAACTTCAAAAATCGTATTATTATTTATTCATGACGTATTTGGCCTGTATTCACCACTGACATTATTCCACAGATGAGAAGAAAAAAAAAAACTGAAATAAACGTACGCATCACAACACCTGCTTGGTTAAAAAAAAAAAAAAAAAAAAAATGGATGAAAAAAAATCATGTCGGGAAACCGCGAAAAACTCCTCAGCTGCGAAAAACAGAATCTGTATTGTCCAATGACTTGAAGGATAAACTGAGCATACTTTCATTCTAAAGGCAATGAATACACAATTTTGGAATAACAGATTTGAAATAGGAATTCTGGTTAATTTTGTTAACCTTTGCGCCCAGGCATGCCTCGTGCTGACACAGCCATCCCCTTTGCATTACGGCCATGTTGATTTATGGAATGTGATAATATGACCAGCTGATCACATCCCATGACTACATAGTGTGAGAAAATCTGTTTCACTTTCTCTCTTTGAGGCACAATCCCATCAATATGATCAGATTTTATGCCGCATCATATTTGGAACTACAGCCATTTTGATAAAATTATTTAGTAGATAATCCGAATCAGATTTTAGTTCAGAACTACATGTGCATTAAAATAGGGAAAATAAACATACAGTACTTTCTGCTAATAAAACAAACGACTTCATGCTTAATGTAATGTGGTAATTAATAGTAGCGTCATTGTACTCTAAAACACCATATGTTGACAGAACAAAAATAATAGAACAATCAAATCACTTTGTCTACCAACATTGTAAAGTAGAATTCAAGACACCTAAATCTACTCCCAAAATAGTGAGATTAGCGTGAACAAAATAACTTCAGTGCAGAAAATGTAACCCTTTACATGTCTATTATTACACATTACAGTATTTCATTGGTGGGACTGGTTGAGTGGGTATAGTGATGGTTGTGAAATGATTGATTGGTCAGGAAAGAAGAGAAATCTTTTCATCACACACATTTGTACTGTTTTTCAGGGAGTGGAATTCAATGTTTGTTTTTGTATTTCTTATCAGAAAAATGATACATGATTTGTGTTTGTGCACACGCATCCTGGTACAGTGGCCCTAATTCCATTGGGAATGATAAAACAAATTTTAATATGAGCTATGTTTTCCCTCATTAACGATCCTTCTCCCTTTAAGGCCACTGTCTGCTGCTGAGGGAGAAGCATCGTTGCTATTGTTGAATCTCTGGTCTCCTCCTTCCTTCCTCCTCCTTTCCCCTCCCTTCACTCATCCATCCCTCCGTCCAACCCCTCTCTGATCTCCGCACACGCACACCGAATTTCTTATCGCCTCCTCCGGCACGATGACCAACGAATCTCCGGAGGAGACCCGAGCTCCGGGCGGCGGCGGAGGAGGAGGATCGGGTGGAAAAGGAAACACGCGAAGGAACCGAGCAGACGACAATGTCACCATGCTGACATCCTCCATGGATCTACAGAGAGCCAGCCGGAGCCGAGCCAGCAGCAGCAACGACGCCGCGCCGAGCATCACCTCCTCTCTGGAGCTTAGCATCCAGACGCGGATCTTTAAGATCATCGTCATCGGGGACTCGAACGTGGGGAAGACCTGCCTCACCTTCCGCTTCACCGGGGGGAGCTTCCCCGACAAGACCGAGGCCACCATCGGGGTGGATTTCCGGGAGAAGGCGGTGGAGATCGAAGGGGAGACTATCAAGGTAAGAGCAACAAGAGGGGAGGAGGTGCATCAGTGGCGTGTTCTCCCTCCCTCCCCCTTCTCCTCCTCCTGCTCCTCTTTTGTTTTTGTCGATCAGCTGCCGGTGAATCCCACGGGGGATGTTTATCCAAACAAAACAAGACAGTCCTTTCACAACACTTGTCTTTATGGGATGTTTTTCCTTTATCGATTCATATTTTTACATGGTGGAGAATTGTAAACGCATCTTGATAACCTTTTTTAGCCCAAAGGACTGAAATGAAACAATGAACTTCATCTGTTTGGCTCAAGGGGAAGTTATTTGAGGGTTAAATATTTGTATGGACAATGCATGTTTCCAGCTGACACCCTGTATTGGATTTTATGTTTGGAAAAAGGACGAATTTAAAACCTCTGCTTATAGTGGCTTTTCTTTGTGTTTACATGATGATGTGTTTCAGATGTGTGATTTTTACTTATTTTCAGACTATTTTGGGCCTAATACTCAAGTGAATAAGAAGATCGGCCATCTGAATCAAGGATGTAAACAATTGATAGTTGCAGCAGAGAATCCTGGGAAATCGTGTCCAAATAGTGTTACTGATTCATTCCTTTTCAGAATAATGAAAAATGTTTGCATTTGAATGAAGTGCAAGCAGTAGGGTTAGAAATGTGCATCCCATCCTTACCATCCTGGTAATTGCTGAATTAAAATGTACTGATTTCTAACATCCGTCTGATTACTGGCAGATGTGGAAAAATCAATCAAGTGCAACAACATGACAAAAGGCTTGTTGGAGAATCTTAACAAATAGGATTTGGTATGTAGATTTTACTTTTCATATGTGCGTCACTCACGTGGACCTTCTTATTGAGTCTGCTGTGCAGCACAGGGTCACACGCCTTCCCCCTCCTCACACAGTAAGTGTGTATGTCCTCCCTCCCCCCCTTCTCAGTGTCAGTATAGTCTGACTGCAACCTCCAGATGCCCCCTTAGCGCTGACTCACAAACACACTACACCCATTAGGTGTTACAATCATTGAAATACTCTTCAAAACCTTTCATATTTTCATATGTGAATGTAACTAAACTTTCAAAGCTGATCTTTTTATCATGTTTTACTGTCGGTAGATTTATTTTATGGATCTGTGTCAACAATGGTGGCTGTTTTGCGAGGACTGAAGGTTACAAGCAGGCAGGTGTTTCTATTCCAGCAGGCTGGAGGATCTGCTATCGCCAAAGCAGAGACAGAAAGCTGAAAATCTTTTCTATTTATGTGTGTTATCCGGATGGGGATTTATGGCCTTTACTGTGAACTCTTACATTGATGGTGTAAATAAAAGGTTATGACCCACCTGGTAGTTCTGGTAGTAGATGTTGGTAGTTCTTTTATCAGCACATTGAAACTGCCCCCCCCCCCCCATCCATTGTGTCTCTGGCCGCAGAGTGGTGGATGGGTTGTCAGAGGGAGGTTAAGATTAGTAAGTGAGGAGTCACTGAGGCTTTACTGACAAAAGTGTGTGTCACCGCAGCTACGAGAGGTCCGATCATGCAGCCATAAACCTTTGGGCACCCAAAATATTACGCAGTTTGCTGTAACGGAGTGCGAGATAAGCAGCGGACAGACCTGCACACAGATTGCATGAAGTGATGATCAAAATGAATCTGTATAAAGATCTGACTAGAGGACACCTTTTCCTCTCTGGTCGTCAAAGAAGCACCCGGATCGGCAACAATAAATCTTGCAAGCTGCAGAGAACTAAAATTAGAAGAGCAGAGATCTAAGTATAGAATACAGGGTAAGGAGTCAAAATAATGGAAATGGAATTCTCAAATCTGAGATTCACAGCTATTAACAAGCAGAATTCTGTCCACATTTCAAGATTTTAGTTATCTTCTCCAAATTAACTTTAAACAACATTATATGTGACTTATTTGTTTTCATGTTAAGCACATTTTCATGTCGTTACTAACCCAAAAGTATAAATTATAGAATATTGGACCATTGGTTTAAAAGGACATTCACACTCACCAGAGGCATATAACATGTATTGAAAGTCTTCATATCAAGTCTATTCTGTGCGTTACGCTGGCAGATTATCACACTCATTGTGTTCATCAAAGTCCAAGCTTTGATGATATGTGCTGCACCGAATGCAGCATTCAACATCTGATGCTAAATAGCCAGGCTTGTCCTTTCAAAGGCTGGAAAATGGTCGTTTCGCCCTGCAGGCCTGGGCTGAGCTTTGGAAGATGTCCATGGTGATATACAAAGTGCTACTGATGGCAGTGAGATATTCAGCATTCAGCATGCTGACAATCCGAGCTCAATATACAGAAAGGCACATGTGAGCAAACTTAAGCCACAAGCCACAAGTCATTCATAGTCTGTCTCCCTTATGGTATTAACTTGAGGGGAAAACAATATCAGGACTTTTCTCGTGAAAGCTCACATCCTCTTTGTCCCCGTGGTGAAATATGAACCATAAAATGCTGCAATTAAGAAATGACATAGCTGGAAAGTATCCCCACATGCAGTGTAGAGAGAAAAAGCCACGAGAGGCAAACGGCAATATATTTAGCCAGATGAATTGGCTCGTGACTCACTGCAGGATCTGACTCTCAACTACGAAGTAAACAGAGAAAAGGCAGTGAAAGTACTGCACTCAGGTATTTGCCAGTGTTGACCAGTTAGTGAATGACTCCAAGCGTTTATTGAATCTGGTTAGCCGGCCTTCACACAACGGTTTCAAAGCAAAAGGCCAAATACAGCACAGAGACGACCTGCCATGAGGCCTTTGTGTAAAGCCCATCAAACTATAAGCTCATCAGTTTAGACAACTCATTGTCTCCAGGTCCATATTTGTAGTTCTCGAGATCTTTATAATCTGGTTGTGTGAGTTTGGGTGCTTTCACACGATTATTTGTGGCTTGCCTCAGTCACATTAAAAACACTTGTCTATCTCCTCAGGTGCAGGTATGGGACACAGCGGGGCAGGAGCGTTTTCGTAAATCCATGGTGGAACACTACTACCGCAACGTCCACGCAGTGGTTTTTGTGTATGACGTCACCAAGATGACTTCCTTCCGCAATCTACAGACGTGGATAGAGGTTGGTAACTGGCTTGATACGTTGCACAACAACCAGATAGTCTTTGTCAGGGTCCAAGAAGTAGGACCCTAGTGCACCACGGCTTACCTTACAAAATAAATTATTCAACAGGATTTGAGCAGTCCACTTGTTCCCAGGTACTTTCAGTTTATGGATCCAGTAGGAAACGGCAAAGATAAGCTACAGATTCAGAGTCATGGCTGGGGCCACAGATTCAAACTCACACAAACCTCAGTTAGATAAAATGTCAGTAAGTCAAGCAGACTCACATACTCTGACCCCCAACGCTCTCTGCTGCTCGGGGGTGGGCGGGGTGACGGGGGACTCACAACGGGAATGTATTTTGGAACATTGCTTGACCTGGGTGGTGGCAAACCCACCCTCTCACCCCGACACATAAACATGGTGGCAGCAGTGTTGTTAGCGGTTGTCATGGTGACCACGGTTGTAGTGTAACTACATGCAGAATAAGTGCCTATAATTACATCTGTAGCATCTGTGTTATGTCTAGTATTAGCAACAGTTGTTATAGTTTGTAGAATATTAGTTGTACACATAAAACATGTCGCTTTACCCCCTAAAAAAATGCCAAGTCACAATCAAGCGCAAACATATAATTAGATCATCTGAATGTTACCAAAAAAGATTTTATTCTACCATTTGGTATATTACCAGCAAAATAAATGTTTGTTATCAGTTGTAATCGTTACCATTGTAACGCCTCAGAAAGGACAAACTGCAGCTTCCTGCTACAGTCAATGTAAAGGGGAAACAAAACATTGGGTTGGGTGAAGGAAAAGGAGGGTTAAAAATAGTGTTTGCTCTGTAAATTAAGTTAAGTTCGTTAGTTAAATATGCCGCGTGTTACGAGGGAAGATGACAGTTGGGGATGAGGTCAGTCTACAACATTATGACATCCCATTCAATGCTGCATTGCATGAATGTGTTTTTTGTTTTTATTTAGATTTGAATGGCCAGGATCATTTATAGGTATAAGTTATTAACAACATTTTACGCTTTGTTTAAGGTATTAGCCCGTGGAGGTTCATGTGAGACGTTATGTCTCTGAAGGTTACCTGAATTATTATTTATTTTTAATTTCCATTGCAGTTAAGTAATAGGCCTACATCAAAAACGAGGCTGCTATGAAGCTGATAACAGCCGATCCATCGCCTGATAGCATTCACAGCAGGTGTGCGTTGCTTCAAAAGCTCACTAGTGACTGAACATTTGTTGTTGCGGCAACGCTACAATCTGGCAGTTAGGTTTAAGTGACCGTGAATAAAGTCACCTATATTTTAGACTGTTATTATAGGGAATCAACAACCAACCGCTCAACTGGGGAAGAAGTAACTCCACACAGTCCAGATTACTAACACACACACTGAGGATAAGATAATTATGGACAGATATGTATTTTTTGGTGTCCCTAACGTAGTTTGAATGTGACCATGGCAGGTTCTAATAGTTGCAGAGGAGGTGTAACCAGCTGTTGGAGAGATCTTCATGTTTTATTCAGGCACCAGATCTTTAGTAAATATAAACACACTGCAGACTTCATAGTTCCTTTTCAACTGGCTGAACTATTCCAAAGGAGTGAATAGACCTATTGGATTGTATTTATATTGAGCTGGTGGGAATGGTAGCTGAGCGGCCTTTTCAACATCAGCAGTTTTACTCGCCAAGTAAGACTGACTGTGGTCATAAATTCCTTGTAATTACAGCTAAAAGGCTTTTCCCCCCCATTTAACTGCTTCTATTTCTGAACGGTGCCATGGTTAATAAAAGTTTATAAAGCCATATTCTGCTGTGTTACAGGAGTGCAATGGCCATCGGGTCTCAGCATCAGTACCCCGAGTCCTGGTTGGGAACAAGTGTGACCTTGTGGACCAAATACAGGTGAGGGCGTGCAGCACTTAGTCCTCTGTCTAAGATGGGAATGAGGGTTCACAGTACAACCAAACGTTTGTGCTCCCCCAGGTTCCCTCCAACGTGGCGCTGAAGTTCGCCGACTCCCACAACATGTTGCTGTTTGAGACGTCGGCCAAGGATCCGAGGGAGAGTCAGAACGTTGACTCCATCTTCATGTCGCTGGCGTGCCGCCTCAAGGCCCAGAAGTCCCTCCTCTACAGAGACGTGGAGAGGGAGGACGGGAGGGTGCGGCTCACACAAGAGACTGAGACAAAGAGCAGTTGTCCTTGTTGAGGGGAGAAAATGAGGAGTGCGAGGAATAATGGAAGGGGGGGAGTGGGGGGGTAGGAGTAGCTGTACAGGTCAAGGACGAGGAGAGGTATTTATTTCCGGTTGAGGAGTAAGAACGGGGGGGGGGGGGGGGGGGTGATGCTGAGACACTAATAGCATGTCTTGAGGAAGACTATCTTCGTCTTCCTGGAGGAGGAATGGGTAAGGAAAGGAGCGAAGATAGAGGGAAAAGGGATTCATTAATTCCACAGATTCTTGGTCGTAACCTTACCCGGATGACTTGCACTGTTTGGAGTCAGCCAGGGTTGTTTTTGAATGAAATGTGTCTGTTAGTAAGCAAGGATTCTAATTAGCACTACCAAGTTTTCCCGACAAGATTTTGTTTCACTGGCAGGTGATCTGCCGACACTGCCTGGGCGATCGACCTATTGGGCACACCCGGTCTAGATCTTTGTGACTTTGTCCTGGTTGAATTCCATCCATCTGTATTCTACTGCCTTAGAAAGCTGCCTCACTTAGGCAAAAGTAGCATAGAGGCCTCAAGAATTGCATCTGCTTGAGATGATCTTGCGACAGGTTCACAAGGAATTATCAACTATTTCAGAGGATAAAGGATTCTTTTCTTTTTGTCTCAGGATTTTCCCTGAGATCCTTTCCATGCTTCACAAGTAGGACATTCAACTTAAAATCACTGTGATATCACACTATTCAGACTAACTATACAGGAAGTCTTTTCCAGAGTTTTTTGGGACAACTTTGCATCTAGAGGGTGTAGGGCAGCATGTCACGTATTGATTCAGAGGCTGTAGGATCCGCTTGCCTTCGTGCAGGAGAAATGCACTCCTACAAAGACGGGCCGTCAATATGAGGCTCTTTCTTGTTTTTCCAATGATCTAATCCTGATGTAGCCCCGCCCCCCTTCTTTGCCTATTCACCTTTCCCTTCCAAGTGCATATGCCTTATGTGACTTTAAACTAGCCTAAAGAATTCTGTATTGAACATGTTTCAACCTAAAGGGCCCTCTGCCTGTATATCAGTACCACTGCCTGCAATCTCAAAGGAGACGGGCTTCACAATTGAGAACTGGCACGCCAACATTTCTTTACATTGCCTCACATCCTGAGCCCGGGTGTACAGTGTGAGGGTAAGGAGAATGTCAATGAGGGCTGCATGAAAACGCCGTAGGAAGCCATATTTGGTATTTACCGGACACAAAAGATGCAAAGTGCTTTACATTGTTATGGCTCCCTACCGGAACAATAAGACTGTCCATAAAAGCTAAAAGACCTTTGTAATAAGGCATCAATCGATAAGCCTGACTGTAGCAGCAGTCACTGTGTGCAACCCTATTTTAACACTGTAGCCTACTTTTGAGCTACGCTATAAATACATCTGGATGCCATGTGTAAAAGATTCCGATCAGTGAGCATTTACGACCCCCTCCAGGCCGCCCCAATTGATTCAAGCGACATCCACACAACCATCGTCTGCGCTGTGTTGGGTTTTTATTCAGAAATTCCTCAAGTATGTTTGTATCAGCAGAATCAGGTGGCTGTTACAGGCGATTAAATATGACAGAATAGCAAATACTCTAGCAACCGGAGGTCTAGCTTCAACAGAAAATAGGCAAGAAGAACACACGCACGATGGGATGACATCTGGTAAAGCAGTTCATTCTGTTAAGGAGTGTTTCTGTGTGTGTCAGAGGGAAGGGGGGGGGGGTATTCCAGCAGTCACCACTAGTTTAGCATCACGCGGCTCATTAGTGTCTGTTATACATGTGCGACGACTGTAGTAGCCTGATATAGGAAAATTAAAAAAATGTGCCTGCATTTCCTTCATAAACTTAGCAAACTTGAAAAAAATACCGTTGCCGTTTGTTTGGAGTGATTGAAAAAAGAAAGAGGGAAGGTATGGTAAAGTTGGCATTTCTCATTTAGAGTTGTATTGTATGTATTTTACATATTAAAATAATTTGTATATTATCCAGGTCTAACAGTTGAGATCATAAATGTTATGTATGTTTGCTTGCCTTCCATTTACTCTGTACATACAATGTTTTTGGTTCATATATTTCTGCTTTTTGTAGTTGATTTTCTTGTTATAAACCAAGTTTGCTCTTTAAGGGATGCCTTGATATTTTGGAATTTTACTCTAGTAGTTTTGTTTTTCTGCCAAAAATCACAATGTTAAAAAAAAGCTTTCTGTATTTGATATTAAATGGGCAATATACAAGCTTCAGAGCATTAATATAGCAGCAAATAATTATTTGAACTATGTGAAGAAATAGTCCTTTTTTTCTGAGCGAGCTATCTGCCGCCGGGACGCCATGTCAAGAGAAGAGGGAAAAGCTGCCGAGGAAATTAATCTGTCATTTACTGTTTTTAGTGATTTTGTGACAAAAAATGCCCGAACTATATCACGTTTCAATGTGAATAATTGCTCATTAATTACACAGTAACTTGAATCTCTTTGTTGGACCAGCCGAGTATCATGTTGTGAAACAGTCAAAAAATGCCAGCAATTGCTTTTGTGTACATGAACATGAATTGTCGGCGGGGGGGTTTCATGTTGCTCAGGACAAAAATAATGTCAACAGTCAGTCTGTTAGGAAACACAAAATAAAAGGCATCCACGTGACAAAGCAGACAAGCAAGTGATGTAGTATCCAAAAAGACTTGTTTGTGATTTTATGGTTTTGGTTTAGTTGCCGAAACCTTATATTAATTAAAGAGATTAATGGATAATTCATATAATTTTTGACAGTCCTACAGGGTACAACACACTGGCAGAGGTTCCCTACCTCAGGAAAAATTGGGTATAAACATTCATGTACTATACATGTATTATATGCTTAACCCGAATGTTGCGCATACATTGCAGGTTAGCTACAATAATTTTTGCCATTCACATAAACTGTCAGATTTCAATCCTATGTATAAAAAAAGTCAAAATGCTGACAAACTCATGATGGGATATGCCCTTTGCCCACAGTAGGTGCTCACATTCATTTCAATGTCTTTCTTTTGATGATAATTGAGGTGACAATGTGTTTCAGGCTGCAAGTTTGTTCGCATATGTTGTCTTTGGCCACCGAGGTATTTATTGTAAAAGCCTGTTTCCCTCCCTTCACACCTCAACCAGATTATGTCTCCATTAGTGGGTGTAGCAGACAAGTGTCGCTGAATGTTGAGAGTGTGAGAAGACCCGAGAGGTCAAAGTCTTTATTTTGACTCATTACAAACTACACATTCAACGTGCCATGATTTCCTTAAGAGTACGGTTAGACATTCAAATTTAGTGTTTTAGCAGCGTTTCATAATTTAAGATATGCTTAATTCATAAAATTTTGCTAAGAGGGCCCATTGTGTCAGGAAACATCTGATGTGGTTTGGTCAAAAAAAAGAATGAAAAAATGTGAAGAATGCTAAAAATACAAAAAAATGGAGGAATTATCTGTGCAGTGACCCTCACTGACAAATTATATGCAGTCCAAAATATATATATATATATATATACTGTATACACATTTATAAATAGATGGTTTAAAATAACGCAGAAGCAGGTGTAAAAACAGCAGTAAATATCCACCATCCAAGGTTCTGAATCCCTCATTGGTGGAGGTCGCAGGTTCCATTTGATTTCCACAGTGGGAGGTGGTGGGGATGAGGAACCAAGGGTCATGACAAGAGAACCCAATTATATTAAGAAAATATAAACCATTATTTCCACAACCATGCTTTTATTTTGGTGAGTACGCATTGTGAAATAAGAAGAAATAAGTTAGATATGAGCCATTCATCTTTTACTAAAATATGGTTCCACTGCCTAGTTAACGGGCCATAGTGCAGGGTTATCATTATTTAACATTAAACATGAACGTTTTTTCATCGTCAACAAATAGCCGTTGAAAAACGTTCAACGTTTTAACGCTTTAAACCAATATGCAACGTCTTTGGAACGTCGACCATAGACTTCTTTTATACGTCTTTTCAACTGAAAAAACGACATTCCTGTGTATTACCTGTGGAGAGCAGCAATAGCATTCGATGAGTGGAACCAGCCTCCGATTTCAGTTGAGGAAGAACGCGGAAACGTCACATGGAGAGAATCAACCAGCAGTAGCTGCTACACCACTAATCACACTACATTAACATAACTAGCCCGGACATGCTAACTGAGTCTGCTACGGGAATTCGCTTTTGATCGACCGTACGGGCGGAATTGCCAATCTGCAAGAAACCAACGCAAGATTTATAGACGGTCGAAACAACGTTACGGCCACACTCGGTTATCGTGGCTTCTCCTAGCATCCAACGGACAGGCTAGTTTGGCTAGCTACCGAAGCCCAACGATAGCGAACTCTGACTTGGCTAGCGTCAGGCTAGCCAGCTAGCTAGCTAGCTACTAACCTCGCTAACGGTGGCTGTGGTAGCTTGCGTCATGGATGAACTGGTCGTGGAAGTGAGGGGCACGAGCGGGGCCTTTTATAAGGTAAGTCGGGGACTCTCTCTGGGGCTTTTGACGTCTAGCTCATCACGCCATGCTCAAACGTTAGGCTCACTGACATAACATGTTTTTTATTTTTTGCCGACCAACGTTAGCGACGCGATATCCGCTCGTGTGTCCGGGCCTCGGTGCTTCCGTCCACCGGGACGCGGAGGCAGTACGAATCTGTAAACAAAGCTAACGCCGAGATGCCGCCGTAACCTCTGTGCTGCTCGAACAATGTCCGAGTTACTGGCTAAACCAAACGCTGTGGCGTGGCTGACTACGGTCCTAATCTACGGAGTGATGGCCGGGGGGGGGGTGGTGTCGGTGGTGGTGGTCTGGTCGCTGAGGCACAAGTGCCAACAATTCGGTTACGGACTGCAATCCGTAAAAGTAGCGACTAACTTGGTTGCGGATGAAAGCAGCACATTGGGGTGTTGTTCGGCTGTGGTCCCCGAGCGGGGCCGATAGCTTTTTGTTTCATCGCGGCTTGTCGACAGTTTTGGGGGCTTTTCCGAAGAGGAGGGTCAACAAGTAACGTTGGGACGATCATGCACTGGAGGGGTTTTTGCATTGGCTCGTGTTGACGTTACACACACACACACACACCCAACAACACACCTTTTGTTGCTCGTGGATCTGTGGGCAGATGTTGACACAGTGGTGTTGGCGCCATGCTCGGTGTTTGGTGTGGAAGAATCATTTTAAACCTCTCCGGTTACTCGTGTACTTGCAACGAAAGCGTGTTCAAACGTCCCTCGCTGAACGGGTCACCAACAACCTTATTTCCGACACAAGCAAAAGTGAAAGTAGGCCCCTCAGTGCGTTTGTGGGATTATTCAGTGATGCCAAACTGTGTCACTCAAAGAGTGCTTCAGGGGAAACGAAAGAGATCAGTCAAAAACAGAAGGGGAAGAAACATAAATGATTTGATATTTTTGATTCATTTGATGACTGAGTGGCACATAACTAATCGCAGCCGCAGAGTGAGAGTTTGTGTCACCAGATAAAATGGCAACACGTCCTACCTGCTGACTGGATGCTGCAGCGAACTGCTTTACTAGATTGGCTGCAGTTGGCGAGACTGTGTCAGTGTGGTTGAATTGAGATTGATTACACGGAGTGTCACCGTAGAAGTGTCGCTGCTGCCAGACTAATGTAATGAATATATGAATGTGCACGAGAAAGTGTTTTGAGAGGTAATCAATCGGGCCTGTAAAGCAGCCCGCCAAGCGGCGTTCGTTTATCTCGCGCTGCGTTCAGTGCCAGCTGAATTGTTTTAAATTCCCGAATTGGACGCTGATTTAATTCTTTTGGATTTCCCTTCAAACAAGTTCGACGTGGTCGACAACAGCAGCAGATGAGCTCGTGCCGCTGTTGGCCAGACACGTTGGTTTATGGATGGACGATAATAAACCGGGTTTTATTATTTGGAAGGTTGCTAAGTTATTGCACTCCGAAGCAACTTTCAGAATGTGAGTCCAAAAGAATCCACTGAATGCACTTTCCTTCCCTACCAACACATGAAACCAGAGGCGGTTGTTCTCCTGAAATGAGTTCTGAGAAGTGTACAACCCCACATGGCATTGGCTAGATATTTATTTACCTCTATGAAATAAGCATTTATTGTCTCTAATTGTATGGTTTGAAGTAGATAAGTATGTTTGGTAAAGTTCATGTACTCCTATGATTCTTGCACTTTTTTGTCGCTGAATGTACTTTTAAGTGGCTCTGGATAAATACTGTGCAATATCTCAATTTCTAAAACATGAGAAACCCCCATGATGTAACCAGAGGTGTGTTTCTCAGTCAGCCATAGTGGTGCTTAGTAGTTCACTTGATAAGAAAGGCCACTTTGACTCTTGGGTCCAGGGATTAATTGACATCATGATTGTGATTGACATGCTCTTTTTTGCGGGAGAGGGGGTGGGCTTTTCTTTTGCTTTATTTCGGACTGATAGATTGCCAGGCTAATGTGACCTGCAGACGGGGCTCTCCCGTCTCTCTCCCCCCTCTAGGCATTGCTTGTCCCACTTGCGGTACTTGACACACATGGGACATTGACTGTGTGAACAACAACCAGAGCCAAAACCTGGCTTGAGCCCAAACAGAAGCATTGGACGGTTTTGGGTGCCACTAACTTCTTTGGGCTCGGGTCAGGCTTTTGGTAACTGTAACCCCGTCACACCCGTGGTTCATGTATCTGTTTTGCTTATTCCTACAGATATACCGAACCCCGGTTTCTCTAACTGTCAATGTCTGTGATTCTTGTAGGCCTTTGTGAAGGATGTTCACGAAGGATCGGTCACTGTGGCTTTTGAAAACAAGTGAGTAACGCACAACACAACATGATACACTGTAAAATGGGACCGTTTGCTTAAGTGACGGACTTCCCTCTTGTTTTCGTGTCCGTCTGTCCCAGTTGGCAGCCGGAGCGACAAATCACGTTCCAGGATGTGCGCTTCCCTCCTCCAACGGGCTCGTGCAAGGAGATCAACGAGAGCGACGAGGTGGAGGTGGGAGACGCTCTATGCTCCACGCTCTCACACCCGCTTCATGACCATCGGATGTAGTTTCCTAAATAGCTTTTTGTTGAAAATCTATATGAAAGCTAATTCATTCCTTTTCTTTAATTACAATGAAAAACGTTGCTGAATGTCTCTTTTTAATAGAACAATACAATGAGCCCAGAGCAGTGTATTCATACATCAAGTGTGCACCGCTGCACTCTTTTCATTGTCATCATCTTGGGTTTGAGTGGTGATTGGGAAGCTTTGTCAGAATGGCCCGTGTTTGTGTGTTTGCTGCCAGGTGTACTCCAGGGCGAATGACAAGGAGCCATGTGGGTGGTGGCTGGCCAAGGTTCGCATGGTCAAAGGAGAGGTAGGTCTCAGATCATCGCACAATGTTGGCCTGGGTATCAACACGTCGGCACCAAGTAGCATTGGGACATGATCTTGTAGCATCATTTACCAGAATGCCCAGAGAAATGATGGCAGCTAGTGAGTTTACTTCCTGTCATTCAAAGGCTTTGATCACTATCCAAATATCTGCTTTTGTGGAAGTGATTAGCTTTAAGCTAACTTGTCACTGCTGTGAGTATCTCTTCCTTTTTTTTAATCTTAGCATCTCCTCCACTGTTTCTCCTTATATCTGTTTTCCCCTCTACCGTCACCAAGTTCTTTCCGGAACATATTTTCTGGAAAATTCTGGAATATTTTCAATGTGCTTAATGTGTCTTTCTCTCTCTCTAGTTTTACGTTATAGAGTACGCTGCGTGTGACGCCACACTGAATGAGATTGTGACGCTGGAGCGGTTACGGCCAGTCAACCCCAACAAACCAGCCAGCAAAACCACCTTCATCAAGATCCGACTGGACGTACCCGACGATCTACGGCAGATGTGAGTTTGGCCTGAGCGATGTGACAAGATAATCGCTCACTGTGATATTGGTTGGAAGCCACGATGGTCCTCACTGTTTTTCCTGCCATTATAACACCCCCCCCCACCCCTCCCCCCAATGGTTTTAGGTTTTGGTGGTTGTTTAAATATATGATTCTGTTGGATCACAAGTGCGTGCGGGAGAGTAAACTGTTTATACTCTGTGAAATTGTAGTTTTCTAAAGGCTTGGAGCCGTCTGATTAGAAAACTGCACAATATTTTGCTAGGTATTTCAGAAATAATTTAATATTTTGGAGGATTCATTCAAACATTTGTACTAATGATTCATATACGTGTAACAAAGACACATGGTCACCTCCCTGGCTGTGTGAAATTGAGAGAGGGCCCGGAGGGCGGAAGTCATTGGACTATTACACACAAGGTTACTGTGACGTTATTAATGAAGCTTTAAACTATTTGGTTCAAAACTCCCGGTTCAGATTGTTCTGCAGCGACATGCCATCCCATCTGGTTTGCCCATAGTGGGACCAGCATTACTTCAACAGGTCAATGACCCCAAACACACCTCCGGGCTATTTAAGGGCTATTTGATTCATTTGGCTATTTGCACCAACACGTGCGCATACGGACGTTTAGGCGCTCGCACCAGCGGACAGAGAGAGCGTGCATCCGAATGGACACCACGAGTAACAATGACTAAATTGACGTGAATTATTTCTCTGCGTCGACAGGTGCTCCAAGGAATCGGCTCACAAAGACTTCAAAAAGGCCGTGGGAGCGTTCAACGTCACCTACGACTCGGAGAAAAAGCAGCTCGTCATTTTGGTAGGTTGAGTGATTTAAAACAAACACTTCATTGAATTACATTTCATACGTTTAAGTCCGTCACTCTTCCATTGACCCACTTTCAATTAATGAACAGACCATATCGTATCATATCAGGTTGTAGATCAGGGGTGTCCAGTAGGTCGACCGGTCGATCACTAAAGCAGCGATCGCAGATCGCCTGCCATTGAAAAAAATCCCCTCGGGTCACCACGCATGAAAAACGTGGCAATCCTTGCTTACTAACAGACACATTTCATTTTGTTCAAAAGCAACGCTGGGTAGTGATGGAAAGTTCGGATCTTTTTACCGACTCGGTTCTTAGAATCTCGTTCAGTAAAATGAACAAATCTTTCGTCATTCGTTGACGGGGGGGTGGTAAGATAAATTCACCTCCCGACCGTGTCTTCGGGTCAATGTTTCGTTCATTAAACCAATGCAAGTCCCAATGTGTGGCCACGAGAAAATGAACTAATCTTTTTTATGACTCTCGAGTCCTTGTAAGGATTCGTTCAAAATGAACGAATCGTTCACGAACGACACATCACTAACTGACTCACTAGCTGACTCCTATCAGTCCAAGTATTCTGTATAAGGTAATGGCAAACAATGCATGGAATTGTGACCGTTCCCTTGGTAAATCTCCATGACTCAGTTGGTTAAAAAGTAGCTCGCGAGCCGAAACAGTGCGGGCACCCCTTTTGTAGATGAACTACATCAGTCATATGTTTACAATGAGGTCCTCTGTGACTTGAGCTGTGATTCTTCTTTCTTCTTCTGCCCAGTCTGTGAACGAGGTCACAACAAGGCGGGCCAACATGATGAGTGACATGCACTTCAGGAGCCTTCGCACCAAACTGTCGCTCATGCTGAGGAACGAAGAGGCCAACAGGCAACTGGAGGTAGATCTGAACACCTACAAACCCACTTACAAGTGATGATTTTGTGGTTTTAAAATTACTCTTACGTACTGTATTAAAGTGCTGTCCATCGGGATTCACTCCTCCGTTGTCTCCGCAGAGTTCCAGGCAGCTGGCGTCACGGTTTCACGAACAGTTTGGCGTCCGGGACGACCTAATGGGTCTGGCCATCGGGACCCACGGGGCAAACATCCAGCAGGCCCGCAAAGTCCCCGGGGTCACCAACATAGACCTGGACGAGGAGACGTGTACCTTTCACATATACGGAGAGGTAGGATGTCTCAGTGTTGCGAAGATGGACCAAGAAGCAGGATTGGTGTTCTAGACCCTGGTCGCGATCCGGAGGATCAAAGCTCCTTGTTGTTCATGTCGTTGTCCTCACACTAAAACTGCACGAGGTAAGCAAGTGACAGAATGCTGCTGTTTTGTCCAAGGACCAGGACGCCGTGCGCGCAGCGAGGAGTTTCCTGGAGTTCTCTGAAGATGTCATCAAGGTTCCCCGGAACTTAGTAGGTAAGAGAAATCACTCGGTGAGATGATGACGTCATCCATTACTTTCATTCTAAATGAGCCAGACGTTGAACCTTGGAATCCTAGCAGACCTGATTGTGTTTCTGACCTGTTTTTATAGGGAAGGTGATCGGCAAAAACGGCAAACTGATCCAGGAGGTGGTGGATAAGTCTGGGGTGGTTCGGGTTCGCATCGAGCCGGAGAACGAAAAAAAGCCTGCAGCAGTGGCGGGGGCAGACGAGGTCAGTGGGGGGGGACCAACACCTCCGTTTACTGAAAGTCACTATGAGGAACGTTCATTATGGCACCGTGGTGTCAGTTAACACGAGGGTCTGGCCTCAATCTCTTGTCCTCTTGCTCTTGTTCGGTTATCTATCTGTAACTCTGATCCCAATAATGCATGTAGATTTACTCCTGAGAGTCTGCCTCGTTTGAGAATAGATCAGATGCAGGATCCTTTATTCTTTCATTTCCTTGTGAAACCTCTCTCACAGGGATTGGTGCCGTTTGTCTTTGTGGGGACCAAGGAAAGTATCACCAACGCTACAGTGCTGCTGGACTATCATCTCAACTACCTTAAGGTGCGTACAATCACCAACACAGCTTTAGCATTGGAACATAATGATGAATGGACTCAAAGGGCTTTAACAGTACATGTCATCAGTCACAGCCATTCATACACTGATGACAGGAGCTACCGCCTGGTCATCTGTGACTAACATTCACACAGCGACACGAGCAGTTTGGGGTTAAGTGTCTTGCACAGGGAGCCGTTGACATGGCGGCTAGCATGGCAGAGAGCCAACCGCCGATATATTAAAATGAATGAGTTTGGGCAGGTTGTTTGTTTCAGTTTTAGTCTATTTGTGTGTGTGTGTATGTATGTATGTGTATATATATGTATGTGTATATATATGTATGTGTATATATATATATGTGTATATATATATATATATGTGTATATATGTGTATATATATGTGTATATGTGTGTATATATATATATATATATATATATATACACATCCCACTCCACCACCTTTTCCTCAGTGGGAGAATTGAGCTCTAGTTTGTCCTGCCAGGATTTTAAACCTGGGCCTGAATGCATCAGTGCCGTTCTCCTCCTCACATGGAGGTGATCATTGTGTTTCTAAGCATATGAGACACTGGTTTAGTGCTGCAGAGGGAAGCATGAACCGAAACGAGTCCGTCCATTCTGGATTAAATGCTTCACTTTCGCGGTCCGCTTTTCTCTTTTTTTCGGAGAGCGCCATTTGTTCCTTATTTGTCTCAAATGTTACTGTCTTTCTTTTTACTTCCTTCAGTCTTTTTATTTGGAATTTGCCGCTATATCTCTAATCTGTCTGCCCTGCTGAGGGATATCGCCCTGCCTGGAATGCAAAGACTCGATTGCTATTGGTCTGTGATTTAAGACACTACTGTAAAGACGACCAAAGCTGCGCCAATCTAAAAGTGCGTCAGGTTTTAAATGACAACCATCTGTTTTAGCTTTGTTTGGGGCAGTTTCTGTGTCTGCCATTCAGTGACCTCTGCACTAAAAGATTATTAGTCATCCTGCCTGTGAGGGCAAACGCAGAGACCAGAGAGAGAGAGATCAAGAGGAGAAGCTGCATGCGTGAGCGTAAATCACACAGAACTGTCTTCACTGATCCAGCACATGGATCTAATGACTGTAAAAACGCTATTGGTCCAAATCTAAGCCCTACACGTTGTCATGTGTTCTCCGTTGTCCACAGGAGGTGGATCAGCTGCGCCTGGAGCGTCTTCAGATCGACGAGCAGCTCCGGCAGATCGGAGGTGGAGGCGGGGGAGGAGCGGGAGGAGGGGGAGGAACGGGGCCGCGAAACCTCAAAGACAAAACCTACGTGTTTGATAACGGCATGGGGCTCGGGATGGGGAGAGCAGGACCAGGAGGAGGAAAGCCCTACGGAGGAAGGGGAGGAAGAGGCGGCAGAGGGCAAAGAGGTGGAGGAGCTGGAGGAGGAGGTGGAGGTGCAGCTTTCGCCTCAGGTATGATGAAAAAAAAATAATAATTAATCATAGCTTGCTTAAATATTTTTTTTTATTCTTACACTCAAATTACAGTGCTGTGCTTGTATACATAGGTTAGTAAAATGGAGGTTTGACCTGTACACCCCCCCATCCTGCAGGCACCAACTCGGAGGCGTCCAACGCCTCAGAGACAGAGTCGGACCACAAAGATGAGCTCAGCGACTGGTCGCTGGCCCCGACCGAGGAGCTGCTGACCGGAGGCGGGACCCTGCCCAGACGGACAGACGGGAGGAGGAGACCAGGTGGCGGAGGGCCGAGGGGCCGAGGAGCCAGAGGGAGAGGAGGGGGAGGGTACAAAGGTAGGTGGTAGCTTGTCATCGGCTGTCATTCATCTGTTTTTGCTGCCATTTGGTTTTATCCGTGGGGGCAAAGTTTGAGACTCAAACGCTTGATAAAACCTTTTTTTTCTCATCTATGAAACCGTATTCTATCCTTCTGGACATGATGTATAAATATTTATCTTGGCTTTAGGGGAAGACATGCAGTGGTCTGAGCCGAGGCCTCGTCATGTCAGAGACCCCAAGACGAGAGCGCAGGAAGACACTCTACAGGTAGGACACACACATGGACCTCTCCTATTATCCGCTATGTCTGAGCCACAACACCATCTTGGAGACTGCTCTCGCCAAGAGTAACCATTGGTGCCGGCATGATGACGCTGGAGATGGAATAAGTCCAAACTGGTTCAAGACTCCACCAAAGCATATTTGCTCTTCTTCTTTCGTAGTTAATCTTTTCAATCCCAAGCAGCTTATGAGTTTACAGAGTGCACAGAGAACTTAAACTGTCTTTAGATCAGTATTAAACGTTGCAATGCAAGAAATCAGTAAAAAGTTTTTTTCCTGAATTTCTTTGATCAAACAATGAAGTTTCCACAAATGTCCTCAACGTTGAGAGGACCGAATGGATACATACTGGTCCTCTACTCCTCCTCTGCTCTGTGCCCAGCAGCCTGCAGTTCACAGGACGTTTGTCACGTGACTGGTTCACTCACGGCTTCCTAGATGCGCTGCGGAGGGCAGGATTCAATGTTTCTACAGGATCAGCTTGATTGATTTCGCCAAAACCTTAAATGAGATATGTAGAATAAAATGTTTGGACCTGGCGGAAGCTTGTGGCTTACAGGTTGTGCCTATGATGGTGCCGTTTTGGGTCCATAAAAGAAGATTATTAAATAATACCATTTTGACATAAAGTGGCTTAAATCTGGTGCTCAATGTGTTATTTAACACGATGATATTTGAAAGCTATGTTTACAGACTACGTAAAGGCTCCAACGTCTCATGAGTTAACCAAAGGAAGAGAAGATTCCATGTTGTTCATAGGTTGTAGCTTTGACTTGTGACGCTGACAGTTGGTTTATCGGTGTGAGGCATGTTAGCGCTTGTTTAGGACACGCTGCTTTCTCTCTCCAAGCTGGCTGTCACAGTATCTCATTTGTGTTTTTCTACTTTCTATTTGAACTTTCCTGTTTAAACATCTATTTTCTTCTTTGCATACATATTAAAATATTCAATGAGAGCCGTAATGTGTCTATAAACCATGTCGATGTTACCCAAGAGCTGATCATAGAAATGGGGAATGTTGTTGCTTAGCTTCTTCGTCTTTAAGTAAAAAACTGGCCCAGACATTTTCTTCACATCACATTTTTACTGCTGTTTAATACTCCAAAACCGCTGTGAGTAAAGCCTAGTTCACGCTTCTGTATTTTCAGAGAGACGCAAGGACACGCATGTCCCTTGCGTGTCCCTTGCGTGCCTTTTCACACCTCCTTGCGTGCGTTGACCCATTTTTCTAGGCTTGTGTCAAAAGCGACGCAAGCCTCCTGCAGCGCACATGGCTGTGATTGGTCCCCTAACTACATCCTTTACGGAGTCTCACATTTCCGCTTTCATAGCCCGATACCACCATTATTAAAACGAAGAATGTTTACGAGCGGACGGACCAGATTGAAGAGCTTTTGTGGGAAGAAATGCGTAAATATGACCACTTCTTCACTAGGCATCTCTTTCCAGCTGACTCCAGGCTGTTGAAGTCACTCACAATGAACAGCCAGGCACATGTTGTTTTTGTATCATTTAGAGGGAAAATGTGTGCTTTTGAGTCAAAAGTTGCTAAACGTGCCAATTTTTTTGAAAATGGCTAAATTTGTTGCTAGGTGCCGTATGAAAAGAAAAGTCGCCCGGCTGGTCTGAAAGGTTGCTGCCAAAAACAAAGTTGCTACATTGGCAACACTGCGACTGCTACGTGGAGCAGCAAGCCGAGGGCGTAGCGGCGTTCCTTCGGTGTTGATTGTCATTGAGCTGCAGACACGTGATTACATTTCCTCACACGAAGGACAGGAGATTGTTTTTCTTTTACGCAGCAAAGCGTTCACTAAATATACAAATAATAAATTCTGTCTGTAGTCCCTAGTGGATGGTGGTAGGGTGTGGGGAACATTAAAAAGATGGAAACTTTCTTGCCTAGGTGCCTAATTGAATGGTAGAGGAAACACTGTATGCTTTGGAATTTTAGTTGATCGTATAAATACTAAATGTATACACCAAGATTTCACATAATGTTCGGTCATTTTTAAGTCATGGATATCTATTGGTCAAAATGTGTACGAACCCTGCTGATAAATAACCCCATCCTGCTCTAAGGTGGAGTATGTGGAGTCTTCTTATCGGACGCTTGATTCAAAATGAGCCTGGAACCGTCGCTGATCGTACTTCAGATCATATTTCCCCTCCAGACTGTACGTATTTCCTTTCTCTCGTAGATCCGCGTGGACAGCAACAACGAGCGCAGCGTGCAGCACTCCTCAGGGGGGAGAGGAGGCGGCGGGGGAGGGCCTTTGTCCGCCCAAGGTGGCGTTGGCGCCGTCGCCACCGGTGCCGATGGCCCGCCTCGCCACCACCATCAGAGACCCATCAGAGACCGAGGGATGAAGAAGGACAACCAGGACGCTCCTCCGCTGGTGAACGGAGTGTCGTAGACGCACCACTGGTGGACCTTCTCACTTAGACACACACACACAGACACACACATGCAACTCATCCTAAACCATTGTAGAGTCTCTCGCTTTTTTTCTTCCTGTCTTTTGTCAAACACGTGAATACACCAATCTCAGCAGCACGGAAAAGGTAGACCTGAGGCGATCTGCTCGCCAGCTCTTTTGACTCTCTTGAGGGTAAAGGTCCGGTTTGTCCCCGACTGCTCCGGTGTGTCCTGCTCTTTGCCAGAGGGACACATAAAGGAAACAGTACTTTTTGGGCAAAAGATGAGTTATTTGACTCATTTTGGAAAGGCACTGTGCCCAAACGTCATTGGCAAATCATGCTTTTTTTTTTCCTATTTTCAAATGAACTAAATCGGGTGTTCTTTTTTTGCCCCTGCCCATGTTTGGATTTCCTCGTACAAGAAAAATGAAATAAAATCAAGAAAATACTTGGTTGACAAGGAAACCAAGAATTACAGCAGGATGAAAACCTCCCTGCTGTATGACCTTTTCTACTGCCCCTGTTAGTTGTAAAGATGATCTGACTGCGCACGTCACTGTTTCCCACTTGTTGGGAATTTATTTTTGATGGTCTGCAGCTCCAAAATCCATCATCTGAGGAGGTCAACGTTTCCCATGTTTTAAGGTAAATTGGGAGCAGGCATACACAGGGCAACAAAACTACCAACCAATTATTCTCCTATCGTTTAAAGTCGTCTGTGTTTTTGACAATTTAGAACAAAGCATGATCTCAACCAGGTGTTAGACGTACCACTGGGGAAACATAAATCTGAGGCACTCTGTAGTGTTTTAAGCTTCTGACCGGAGCAAAGACGGTAACTCCAAAGAGTCTTCGACAGGGTACAAAATGTCTTGCACTGCTGTTATATTTAAAACCAATGACCTTTGACAGGGACACCTGGCGAGGCCAACAATGACGGGGCGCGCGTGCGTATGCTGACGCGTTCGGTTCGACACACCTTGTGCTCAGAACCAGCAGCGAGCAGCCAGGCCCTCTTCACCGGCCCAAATGGTATCAGAAATTCTTTGTACAAAAAAAAAAAAAGGTTTTTTAAGCAGACTGCATGATCATCAAAAGTTTTTTAATTCCCCCGCACAAGGTGTCATGTCCACAGTCACTCCAGAGGAGTGAGCAATCAATTTGATGTAATGGCGGTAAGAGCCCCAGAGGAATACACTAGGAAGACCGGGGAGGTATTTTAAGAAATTCCAGAAATCTGAACACCAAGTAGCTACTGTAATATAATAGAATCCTAAATTCTGCATACAACGGGCAGAGCAGCTCCAACCTGCATAATCCACAAAAGCATACAGTAGAAGCTGTGACTCACAACTTGACAACCTTACCACAGCCACGAATTGAGGCGCCCTCCATGCGTTCCTCACTACAATGTTTCTGCACCGTCGGCGTCCTGTGCCAGACTGACAGGGGCCCGTTGGACCTCAAAAGTGGGCTGTTTCCCAGCGAGGGCTTAGGCCGTTAGCGTTTGTCTAGTTCCACTCACTTACATTTAACCAAGCACTCTTGGACGGATGCCAGTGAAATAATTCCAGTAACTCTCTTTGCTTTCAGACAAACCTGATCAGTTGGCAGGGTTAAGGCGGCAACTTGGTGAATGTAAAACTCGTGTCAGTTGATCACATGAGCTTTTCTTTAATTTATGAAAATCTTTGTATTTAACCTTTTTTGTTATGCAGTTAGAAAACCTGTTTGAAGTATCACTGTAGAAGAAATGTTTCATTGAGTTATACCTTGAGAAAATAAAAAAAAATAATAAAATTGTTGTAAGTTTTAATTCTTCCTAGTTTTCCAACTTATTCTTGGCCCGTCCCCGCCCACATTTTTTGGTTCATTTCCCCGGCTGTATTTTGAAAACGGAAGGGCGGAGGAATTTTAACTTTGAATTTGAGAATTAATTATATCATTCTCGAATCTCGATTAAACTAAAATACCAGGTCTTGTTCCGCACTTCTTCCTCTGCCCAAAGCAGTTCCACTAAAGCTAACCGACAAACCTAGTCCAGACATTACAATTGGGTTTGATGAACTATTCTAGCCTGTTATCTGAGATTTACTTTTTAAATCCCCTCAAAGGCTTTAACAAAGTCTTGTGTGTCTATATCCTGCCACTTTTTGATTTCATAATGATTATTATCTTTGTGCCTTGGATTTATACTTCTTCTTTTCAAGATGTTTACACTGTAAGCCCTGCACCCTCCTCTTGTGGTTTTTACATGTAGTGTAGAAAGTATTTTGGGGATTTATAATCGGACAGCGGTTGAAAATAGCAAGAAAAGGTCACTGTAAAATAACAAAACAAAGTTTGTCTTGGTGTTTCTGGGCATTTGTAGTATGAAATAATGTAATCATAAAATCTAATCTCATATGGTTTCTACAGTTTCGGAATTGTTCAGGAGTAGTCAATAATTTCTCGTGATGCTCAAAGGTTTATTTTTATGTTTTCTTTCAACGCTAATACGCCAGAAGGCGCTTTGATTAGCTTAGCTCAGCTAAAGACGGTAAACTAGCCTGGCCACGGCCAAAATCTGCCCAGTACTGCTTCCTAATTAACATATATCCATAATGACCATTTTGTTCTGGGTGAATGTGTACAGAAAATTAAATGATATTGCATGCAATCCGTGTAATTCCTGGCCAGGCACTGGGACTTCATTATTAGCTATTTACCCATTGCGTCCAGTCTTTACGCTAAGCTAACTGACAACTGGCCCCAGCACTTCTTGTCAAACTCAAGCATAATTCCAAAATATGAAACATTTTTTTAAAGTGCCATATATTGGGAGAATCAGTGAGCAAACGTTGTATTTCAAGTTCAAAAGAGCCCATGTGCTGCAATAGTGCATAGGGATATTGATTCGTAGCTAGAAAGATGCTGAGAGAAACCACAACCACAATGTTTTTTGTGCCATGTGCCTTTTAATAGCAGCTTGTAACACAAGCTAGACGTAAATCCGAGGACCAGAGGGATAAAGATGGCTACTGCCGTGACGTCATTGTTTCTGCGCTTCCTTTAAACTCAAAGTAACCGTCTGCTTTAACCATCCGATACCATTTAAACACTGAAGGTATTTCCATGTACAATAATAATAAACCCTGTAGCTCCTGGCTTGGTTCAGTTGATCTGTGAAGCGGATTCACTTGCTTTTATAGGCCTGTGCCATTTGCAACCCTGAGGCCCTCATGTACGTACATTTGCAAACGTAGCTTTTATCAGCTTACGTTGTGTTTACAAAAGCTGCAGTTTAACTCCCACTTTCCCCTTGACCCTCACGCATGACACGGGAAAGCTCAATGTTTAGGCTACAGGCGATCAGTGCAGCATGTTTGTACATATACCTCACCAAGCGTTTACGCTCACTTTTAGTAGTTTGGGGAGGGGTTTTTTTGTTTAAAAAAAAATACAATACATACTTTTTTGTTAGTGTTCTATTGTCAGATTTCTCCTTGATTCCAGTTCAGCTGGTTTAACCAGACATCAATCAGCTTTGAGTAAATGACACACGGGGGAACTTTTACCTTTTACTTGGGAAATGTCACAAGATAAACAGTCGTAACACGATGATCACAAAACAAGTTAATCAAGTATTGTTTTTTCTCCCTCACTAATCTTTTGCTTTCACTTGCCGCCTACACTGCAGCCACGTTGGAAATTGTATTGCCAGTGATTATTCTCTGCATTGTATCAAGTGAGTAACATCTATAATGTCAATAGAGCATTGATAGTATGAGGTTGCTTGTATTGTAAAAAATAAGTGTGCGGCATATATGTATATACTGATAAAATGATTTGTCTTAGAAAAAAGATTTGTACTATCGTTTCAAATGTGCACTTATCTTGATATTTTCTCTTTTTTGCTGTTTAATATCGGTCAAATGCTAGAACGAATAATAACCTCAATGATGTGTGATGATGAATTATCCTCTAGCAGGGTTGAGTCACACATTAATATTAAAATGGCCATATGGCTGCAGAACACGATGGGGAAAAACATCAAATTACTAAAAGAGAGGGTGAGTTATGTGATTATTTAAAATCCAAATTAATAGAAACACTGGAACTTTCACTGGCGTAATGACATGGTAACCATATACAGTATATAGCTGGAATTTGGCTTTCTTAATACACCAATGCATCAGAAATAATTTGTGCATTTATTTGTGCAGAGATCCAACTTCCAACGTTTTTAAGAAGTTGTAATAGTTGTAAATCAGATCTAAATTCTTCTGGCTTCTGGCATTAAGCTCCCACACCGTAGTTTGGGGGAAAGTTTTCCCCCTGCAATAACTTAATCCATATTTGTGAATAACATTTGATGGTGGATTCTCCCCTTTAAGAAGTAGAAAGAATATTTGTTGTCTCCTGGAGTTTCTGTCTCTCATAAAGAGACCCAGCATTGTTGAATAATTACAGATGTTTGACTATATTTATTATCAAGTCACAATCACATTCAAGTTGGATGCATTTGAAGGGTTTTACAGACGTTACTGAGTCACGCCAGAGGCGATGAATTTCTTTGCATCTGTGCCTGACCTTTAACCTGCTTGTTGGTGTATTTCACTGCGCCTCCAAACGCCAGGTTTGACTGCAGGAATTCAACCAACAAAAGCAGTTTTATAGCTTGTGCTATAAAATGTCCATTTTTGAAAAAGAAAAGGAGGACTGTTGCATGCTGACCATTTTGGGGTCATTGGAGGATTTGAGAATTAATGCATTTTTCAAAGGTTTGATTGAGAGGTTTCCATAACTGGATGTTACATCATGATCCAATCGTGTTGTGAGCTGCCATAGAAACCACTAACTTGAGATGAGTAGATTCAAGATCAGGGCAGAAAAGTAGTGTCTTGGTCCCAAATGTGAAAAACCTTGCAAAATGGTCAAATGGAATATAAAACTAATAGTTAGAGATGGATTTCGAGTGAGTAATTGCTTTTTTATAATAAAAGATCACTGTTTTATCACATTTTATTGATATTCAACTGTCGTGATTGTGTGATGTTCTGTTGTACAGAGTGTACTTTTTTTTTTTTTACCCGTGATCCAAATGGTTGTAGGGGGGATGCTAGTAATGACCGGGACACAGGGATATTACATCGGGAATGAGACTGAATTAATGCATTCTTACACTTAGATACAACGCCTGAAATCCTCACTTTATATGTCAAGCATCAATAATGCAGAAAGCGTGACATTTTGAATTAGCGACTCCCAATCCAGTTCTAAAAATATAAAATCCTTTTAACTGTAGAAATGTCCCATATGAACATTTGGGAACCCACTAAGCCTTCAGTCCGGTTGGGGTTACAACGCAGTCAGTGCAGAGGCACACATGGAGATAAGTGTTGTTGCTTTCTAGTAAACAGCCGATCACAACAGTCATATATTTGCAGAATATACATAAATAACCAATGTAAACTCGTCACATTGTGGGCTGAGTACCAGAAAGTACTTAATCCAGGGGATTTATAGTTAGATAGTTATATATAAATAGTCCAAATAAAAGCTGTAAATTTTGTGTGCATCCTTTTCCTTTTGTACATGATACTGCCATGTTAAGATGGGTTGGGTTGACATGTCTGTTATAGTGAAATATATTTTTTATGCAAGCCGTTTGAATAAATAAAGGTTGATCTTCCTCCATTAGCTCCGCCTCACTTTATCTCTCAATAACTGGGCTTGAGACGCCCCCCCTCTTTACTAACACCCTCACACTCAACACAACCATCTAAAGCAAGTTAGGGGTTATCTCAAAATGTACTGATTCATCTTCCTCAGTCTGGCCATAAGAGACAGATGTTGCAAATCCCAGATTTTAGGGTGGACATTTTGTTTTCCTTCTTTATGACTAAGCAGCTTTTTGAGACTTCAGAACAGCGTGTTTTTAGCTAAATAATGTCAGCATGCTAACGTGCCCACAATGGCTAAAATGCTAATGTTTTTAAATAGATAAGATAAGATCATCCGTTATTAGTCCCACAACAGGCAAATTTACGTATGGCAGGGATAATGTTCACCATCTTGATAGCATGCTAACATCTGTAGATAAACACAAAATAATCAGTTTGGTCACAAAAAGTGTTTTTTTACAAACAGAAGAACATTAGCTGACGATGGTGTTGGATGAAAAGTCACACAAGAGAGATAACGATTCGTCCCAAGCAGAACAGCAAAAGTCCCAACGACCTGAATAAACCGATAATGTAAAAAATGTTTATTAGTACAGCTTTAACCTGTTTTTAATTGTAAAACTAAGGAAAAACATCAAGTACAAAAAAGTAACGTTGGTATGCTGCAGCATTGTGGCCTTGAATACGATCAGCATGTTTGGTGCATTAGTGAAATGCTCAGCATTAAAGGTAACGCAGCGCCCCCCCCCCACACACACACTGCTCGGACAAAGGAAAACTCTTGAGATCATATAAGCATAATACGTGTTCTGAATGCAAATTGGTTCATTATAACCTGGACGACTGTAAAAACGATGTGGGTAATATTCCTAACAGAAATACTTCAGACAGCACTTTAATAACAACGGGGAAATGTTAATTGAGTTCTTCAGGGATTCAAAATGCGGCGTGTTAAACGGGAGATTACCCTTGAGCAAGAATAACTTCACTTCAGTTTCACTTAAAGGGAAAGCACTAGTAGAATATATTATTGCCCCACATGAGGGCTGAAACAATTAGTCATTTTCTGTGTCTTTACCCTAAATGAATTTATTGAGAGATTATGGTGAGAGTTGTAAAAGTTGTACATTTAAAAGAGTTTTTTCAATGCAAATGAATTACTTACAAACTCATAATGCCCAACAATTTTGGAAAAATGTGATTAGCATGAATAGTTTATAGTTTATTTATATTAAGGATTGCGCTCTTCAAATAAAAGCCTCTACTTTTGGTGATCGAAGTTGATGACCAGTCGGTGGACAAATGATTTAGTACTAATCACTGAGTGCTACTCAGGAAAAAGATCGGCAGTTAGCCATCCACACGTCCAGGACCTAAAACAATGTTTTCATTACTCATTTAAAAGACATCTGGGGAAGTTTTAGTGATAATAATTCCTAACCCACAAACATCAATTGAACAAAACATTTGTGCAGCAAACAAGTACAAAAAAGGAGAGGGAACCTCATTTAATTTGGCAATTAAAATCACCCTGTATAAATTTACTATCGGTATCTCTCTGGCATTAAACCTTTTTACTAGTAATAAATGGGTCTCAGGCTACCTAAATGTGTTCATTTAAGTTCACAACAGGTTAATAAGTAAGAAATGTATTTTTTTCCCCATAAGGTGTGAATGACAAGATCCAACTACTTTGTCTAAATGATGTAGTACTCATTCCCAGCCACATGGGAGCGCTGTGGACCCTTGTTAATCCACCACCTGAGGGAGAGGGAGAGAGAGAGAGAGAGGGGGGAGAGGGGGAGAGGGGGGGGGGGGTATTGAACATTCTCGACATGCACTTCTCAACTTCTGCTTCAAGATACACATCGAGTATAATGAGCTGAAAGCTGAGAAACTCTGGCCTTTGTTTTACTTCTGGGCTGTGTGAGTGTTTATGCGTGTGTGAATGTGTGTGAGCGTGTGTGAGCGTGTGTGAGCGTGTGTGAGCGTGTGTGCGTGTGGCACTCTATGTGTCATTTTTTAAATTACCGTCACAGCTGTGGCTTTAAAAACACTGAAAAAGACAGCAAACACACACACACACACACACACACACACACACACACACACACACACACACACACACACACACACACAAAGGGAGAACGTCCAAACAAAGACCTCCATCAGTAAAGGCCGTGCGTTGGGACGGTGTGTGTCTCTCTGCGTATGTTATCCCTTAATTACATTTTTTCTTGTCATTTAATTCTCTTTCTACTCAATGTGCAATTGCTTTTTTTAAAAGTCCGCCACATCTTCCCGTCTCTCTCTCTCTCTCCAGTCATTCCCTGTCCTTCAGTGTCTGACCTAGTTTTGGACAGCCTTTCTTATACACACACACACACACACACACACACACACACACACACACACACACACACACACACACACACAACCAGTGTTCCTGCAGGTGCTTCAAATCCTTGGAAATTGTTTGAATGTTAATGTGGTGTTTTTCGAATCCGGAGACGTCTGGAATATTGATTTGCGACGAGCTGGAATTGATCAAGGTCACAAAACCGCCTTTTCAGACTGTTTGGCTTGTGGCGGGCAGTGCTGTTTTATTCCCATCATGCTCTATGGTTAACTCTGGCCTCTTCATCTGGGGCTGCTGCTTGTACTTGTGTGATGCAGAACAGTGCTGGCATGTTGCCCCAGTCTACCGAAATACACACACACACACACACACACACACACACACAGTGTATCTTCAAAATATTACTTCCGATACATTTGGACTTCTCGTGTTCTGGCCTCATGACTGAAAACACGCGGCCTTCTGCGTAGGAGGCGGCGAGGGGTGATGTCACAGAGGCGCCGCGGTCCCGGCGACGGCACGTGCTCAGCGAGAAGTTTTCAACCATCTGGTCGGTCATTATTCGCGGCGAGGCGCGAGCGGCGACGGAAGGGAAAAAAAAGAAAAACGTGCCGCCGGGCAATGTGTCGCCACGAGGGAGCGTGACGGAGAGCGAGGGCGGCGGGCCGCTAAACTCGTTATTAACACGCCGCGGCCCAACTAGGGGAGCTGGCGGGCGAAAATAGAGAAGCAAGGGGTCATAGATAATATATACGAAGAGTCCTGATTCTTTTTGTTGTCAGCGTGCGCGATATGGTTGATTTACTCAATCCCATGTGTACGGTTTAAGCACATGCAAAGAGAGAGTCGTGGTTTCTATGAGGAGCCCACAGAAGGAAATTCTCCTATTTTGTACTTTACATCTGAATTTGCTTAACATCATGTACGTAACATACATCGACTCGTAGATTCATTTACCTTCTGAACGTTTGTGACTAAAGGTAGGTATATTAAAAATGCCCAGCTACTGGTTTAAATGATACAGGGGTGGAGGGGTCTGGCTCCGGCCTGGGGGGGCCCTTCTCCCCCTTGTGGTGGAACAGAGCATCCCCGTCGCTCACTGAGAAGAAAAGAATCCCCTTTGACGAATAGGGATATTCCCCCGTTTCTGAGTCCGTTGCATCCTATAATTCATGATCAGCGGTGATCAGTGACATGTGAGAAGCGTGCAGGTCATTTCACCGACCTCCCGTGCTGCTTCCTGCAGGCCGAAGACGCCTCTGATTCCACGTTATCTGGCACATTTAAGCCCCTTTTCACTGAAGTGACACACAAAGCGTCACTTTATGGGGCAAAGAGCGTCAAGGGTTATTTGTGCGTAAGCTCCATGGGGTAAAAATAACTCTTACTTGTTATGAAGGAAACACGTTTGCACTGAATATATGTCAGTGTGACTTCAGCCCTCTCCCTCCCTCCTTCTCTCCGCTCTCCCTCTTTCTCCCTTCCTCCCTCCCTCCACCTCTGCCTGCCTGACTGTCAGCTCGCCTCGACCACGTAGCAGCTTCCTGGCAGCGGCAGCCGCTTGTGTCTACTCTCTCCCTCCTCTCTGACTCACACACACAGACACACACAGACACACACACACACACAGTCGGTCAGTCAGTACCTGTAGCCGATGTAGAACCACGTAGCACTAGCTTTGGATTTTAACCACCAGCCGAAGCGACAATGGATCTCTTCGAATTTGACTTTTTCAGAGACTGGGAGCTGGAGCAGCCATGGTAAGTCCTGCGCACCCTGCTGTTATTATTATTATTGTTGTTATTAATATTATTATTAATATTAATGTTCGCGTTTAATGGGGACGCTTTGGGCGTTTTTCAAAGAGGAGCGAGCGGTTTTCTTCCAGTTGGAGATGTGAAGGAAGCCAAAGTGAGTCCCGGAGAGACTCGTGCAAACCGTCTTTCTTTGTCACAGTGAAGCTGCCGCTGTGGCTCGAGACGAACCGGGAGGCTCGCGCGCAGCCTGCTCCAACGCGCACACGCGCGCGCGCGCGCACCCATGGGCGCACGGCTCGTTTTCCTCATTGACCGCCGCAGAGGGGCTTCTGGGGGGGGGGGGGTCTGTTAGTTTTCGATGTGAGCCCGCGCCGGCTCGGCGTGACTGAGCGGTGACACGGCGCGGTCACGCTGACCCGCCACGACACGTTGGGTGACGCGCAGGTCAGCGCGCAGCGGGTCTGAGTTGAGTCCATCCAGTGGTGCAGAGAACGAGGTCAGGTCAGCGTGGCCTCCACCTGCAGCACAGGTGGTGCTGATGCTGGTGTGTCCAGATTGCGATTGAGATGTGTTTGGGATTGAGATTAGTTTGTGCATATTGTCAAGTTCTCTCCAGCGTAGTTGTGGTTCCCATGTGAGTGTGAGATGAGCTGCAGGCTGGTGGTGATCAGAGCGACTTCTCCACGAGCTCAAACCAGCCGTTGGTGGATTGATTGGTGGATTGCCAAAATAAATCTGCAACTTAGCTTATCAATTGGCCTTTCTGTTATAGGAAACCTTGCTTCCAGTCTCTCTGATGAGTTGAAATGATATCTTTGGGTTTCAGATGTACCGGAAAAACCATCACCCTGGACGCTTCTTACCAAAATATCCATTTAGATAATTGAACAGAAATCCCTTGATCGTTGTTTTCAAGCTGGTCGGATCAGAAGTGGCGTGGCTCAGTGTCATTTTGAAACACTTTCGCCTTTATTTACTTTGTCCACCAGAGAGCACTGGTAGTTTGATTTTTATTTTTTAAAACATGTAACATGATATGTTTAGAAAGTACAACAAATAATAAGAAGGAGAAAAATAAGAGCAATCAAAATGGTCTATGATCTGTAAAGCTGCATCCCAGGTCCCTGACGTGCAACTTGTATTTAGAACCCTCGGTTAAGGTGTCGCGCTTGCAGCAGAGGACACAGGAACAAAGACTCACACGGGTCGGGTGTCATTTGAGGCTTTCACAACCTACAAGATGACTGAGAGGCCGACTGAGATTATTCTCTTCTTTTGAAATTCCTTGCAAAATGGACTGGTAGAGAAATCAGACACTATGGGACATGCAGGCCAGCTAGTCAGCTCAGGCCCTGGCTGTACTGGCCAGCTCCCAGTTCAGACTGCAGTTATACAGGGAGCTTTTATCCAAAGCCATTTACTATTTACTTCTTTGCCCAGTTACAGCCAACCCTGAAATTAGTGGATTCCTGGGAGAGTCTTTTCTGGATGAATATAAAACAAAAAAAAATGTCAGCGTGGGTAAAAAACAATGTTTCATTCAAATTTCTACAAGCCGGATTAATATTGTGCTTAAGATGTTCTGGTTGTTTGAGGTGACGTGACATCCACATCTATCGGGAAACCCTTGATGTGAAAAAACACGCTGTGTTGGATGAATCCTGTGTTGGGAGGAGGCTGTTTTACAACTAGTAAGGCGAGTGAGGAGGGCCGTCTCCACCTCCACCGGGTGCTGTAGTGGGGGGGGGCGACAACTTGGCAACCGCGAAGCTGCTGCTTCGAACTGCCGTACTCAGCAGGGGAGAGATGTGACACACACTGCTGTCCCTCAGCAGCCACACACGGGAACCCTCCCCCCTCCCCCCACTGTGCACGGTACTTAACCCCCCACTGCTGAAGTGGAGACGCTCTGGGCTCAACGGCAAGCTTGTGGGGTGAGGGGGGGCCAACACATGTAACCCGCTGCCAGCGGCACTCCATCACGCTGCTCACGATCAGGAATCAGGAGGCTCTCACAGCAGCAACAAGAAGAAGGAAAAAAATGGAGGCATGTGGCAATTAAAAGAAAAAAAAAGAAGAGAACAACAGGCAGAGCTGCTGATTGGTGGACGAGTCAAGCCTGTTTAGATCATCACCTGCCATTATAACTGTGTGTTTATTAGGGCAGGAACTCTTCAAAGGGCCACAAGTTAAATCTGAAGGGCTCAGATGATTAACAGTAGAAAAAAAAATCATTATGCCCAGCATGCAGAACCTCTTACTCAAGAGTACAAAAAGAGTTAGGATGCCTCTGGTTCCCGAAGGAACTCTCTGCTAAGCAGCGCTGCACTCTGTGGATTTTTGTACCTTTATGTTATGTGATATCGCAGTATCGTAATCAGACAATTACGTATTTATGCTTCTTCACCAGAAACACTAAGTACAGGAAACCCAAAATGAACCAGATGAACATTTAATATCCAGGAGTTCCGGTTATGGACACTATCATGGACCACGTAGACCATTTTCATTATGTGCAATCACGTATTTGTAAAAGAAAGAAAAAGTTTCACACCTCTGAAGTAACTAAGGAACTTGAGCAAGGTAAAAAAAAAAAAACATATTCCCTGTCATGTTTCACGTGTGCAAAGCAGCGTCAAACCTTTAGAGCAGTGGTCACCAACCTTTTTGAGCCCAAGTTCCCGACCTCTGCCTTGCTGACAGGCAAGCTCTATTGATGAGAAAGAGCCTGTCCCGTCTGTACTTGGAAAACTTTTTATTTGGCCTGATTGTAATAGAATGAGATCAAACACTTTGGTCCAGCTTTCAAATTGATCTAACCAAGAACACACTAAATGACCTAACTTCAGTGCAACATAAAAAATGAATTATTTGTTGATAATAATAAAAACACATTTGCAATGAGCAGGCTGGATGGACTACAAATACTCTTTTATTTATTAAGTTACAACACACACACACACACACAACTCAGTCAGTGCAAAATGCAGAACTGTGTCCCATCACAATGCCATCAGAAGTCATGTGATGAACACCGTCTGTTCTGTGCACCGTCGGTTTATAAGCACAGACAGCCAGTTTGTGGCAGTCTGTGAGCTGTCAGTCAGTAAGCCGGCTCTTTTGATTTTGTGATTTCTATCTGTAAACGTCTCATTTCACAGAGGTAATTTGACCCAAAGTAGGCACTCACTCTTAGTGGATGTGCTGGGAGGAAACTTCTCTTTGCTGACTGGCCCCCAAAAGTCCCTGTTTCTTGACCTGGCTTTCAGCACTATGCCATTTTGCATATCGACCATCTCCACGTCCACTCCACCTGGCAAAGTAAATGCTTTCTGGGACTTGGCAGGAACCTCCTCTGTATCAGAGGAAAGCTTGGTGTTTACTCGACCGGTGATTGTTTCCGGCTTTGACATGACTTGAATCGTGTCTGAAGTTGTTCTAGTGTCGCCGAGCGATTGCGATCGTTCTACTGCTGATCTACTGCTTTAGAGCTTCAAGAAAGACAACCGTGCACCGTTAACATGTGACCCCGCCACGTCGAGACGACAAAGACTTGAATGGCATGGAGAAGAAGAGCTTAGCCAGGAGAGGATGTGACGGTGGAGGGGCCTTTAAACGCGGTCGACTCGTTACCAATCGGTCCGTTTCATGCGTGCTGAGCCCTTATAACAAGGCAAAAATAAGTAAATACGACATTAAAGTCTACTTTTCCTTCCAAAAGAAAAGATGGATTTGTTTATGAACGGCTCCCACGCTACTCATGATGGCGACTTCTCCTCAGCAGTGTATTCTTTACCAGCAGCTGTGACGTCTAATAAGCGTTAAAATGGACTCATGTCCAAGATCACAGCAGGAGAACACCTCAACGGTGGGTGGAAAACCACAACGGAGCGCGAGGGAGAGTCATTTTCAAATGGACCTATTTTTTCCTTCGGATCTGAGATCTGCTTGAAGGCCGCCGCACACCTTCAATGCGAGCCGTGAAAATCAGTCAGATTGGGAGTTAAAAGTCTGCCACTCGCCATTGATGTGCGGCTCCCGATTTTCCTTTTTTATGGGGAATAAAAAAGAAAAAAACAGAGCGAGAGAGAAAACAATCTGGAAGCACCCCACGTCTTTGTTAAATCGGAACGATTCCAGCACCGTGGGTCTCCTCCTCCTGAAGAAATACCCTTTCATCTCAGCTCCTCTTTGTTGCGCTTTCTCTCCCATCTCGCTCCTTGCTTCTTCCTGTCGCCCGCAGATCTGAAAGCTTGGTGTGATCGTGACAGGACCCGCGTTGAACGTGCCCCCCCCCGCTGTAATTGCGCATCATGTAGCCGGCTAATTATGGCAGTGAAATCTGGGGGAGACTTCTTTGACTGTTAATTGACACTGATGGTGATAGGTTCACCATTTAAGTAGTTTATAAGAGAATTGATTACACATTTTGTCAGCATAGGATTAGAGGATTCCAGCTGTGCTGTTTTGCAGCTTCAAAGTTCAAGAAACTGTGGGAAGAAATTCCATCATAAACATCCCATTTGATTATTCAATTTTCCCTTTTTTAGGCTGCTTTAAAATGGGACTCCCTTTTGCAGTTTCCAGACCATGTAAAGCATTCTCCTCAAACTCGCGGCCCGCGGGCCACATCCGGCCCGCCGCCAGAGTGTGGACGACTTTGGCGTACCGTCAGCGCCACCCCCTCGCCGGCCGTACCGTTCACCGGTCGTATCGTCAGCGCCGCCCCTCCATATGATTTTAATGGTCTGGCCCGCGTTCGGTCGAGGTGGGCAGAATCTGGCCTGAAATGAGTTTGACACCCTTTACATTGTAAAGACATGTGTGGTGAGCTCCCTAGTGGAGAACACTAGGCCCACGAGGGGCAGCGGTGACAAGGCTCAATTCACAGTCAACGTTCGGTCTCATGGCCCAAAGTTCCACGTGCCCGTCGATCCCCCCGAGCTCTTAATCAGCTCGGTGGCACGCGTGAGCTCGTCATCCATCACGGCATGCGATAGGGG